CCTCTACGCTCAACATAATCCCTGCTATGCTGAGAGTCCATAAATATTGTAATATAGGCAGAAACTGGATCTTTCCTTGAAAGATATCTAGCCCTCCATAACTCGATCCCTGCACCTGCATGAAAAACCAGACATTCTGATCAATGCAGTGTGACAAGGTGTAGAAACGAGGGCCCAGGTGGGATTCGATCCCCAGATTCCTAGGTGAGAGTCACGCATGCTAACCAGTCAGCCAAAGGGACATCCCCTTGGCCAAGTAGCCAGGGTGCATGATCAATCAGGACACTGCCACAGTAGGAAACCCCCCCCCCGGACGCCCGAGAGTGAAAAGTGGACATGTCCGGGGGAAAGAGGACGTATGGTCACCCTACAAGCATCAAATTTGTATGAATTTAGGTGATGTGATTATCACATATATAATCAAAACGGAGCAGCTAAAAACCTGAGCGTACCTTTATTTTCACAAACATGTGTGATGTGATTTTTATGTCAGCAGATTAAAACATGTGAAGAGCAATTTCTAATTTAAACCCATATTTTATTTTAGTATAAACACTGTAGTTACATTCATTCAGTGATTGGAAACAAGTGAACGTAGATTTATTTTACAGGTGTTTAGTCTGTAGTTCAAGTCAGCGTTACCGTGCCAAAATATAGCTGCTAGTTATTGGATAGCTCCTAATTTAAATTTCAGGAATTTTGTAGTTGTAATATTGACCCTTCCTGAAAGCATATTATACAATATTAACCACGGTAAATGAGTTTTTGTTGGCAAAATGTTTCTGATAACTTCTCTGATAATGTAGTTTATAAAAAAAAAGTGCATTTGATCTCTGACATCTGCATTATTAGTGAGATGCAGGTGGCCACATTCTGTGATGGCCACTATCATATTGTGTGACCATGGTCCGCGCCGCACAACTTCCTCAAAGCTTACGTAGTTTACGGTTTTAACGTAGCATCTTCTTGTTTTTTTGCCAATTCAGGATGTACAGACGCAACAAAATGCAACACTGCCCCTTGGGGTCACAAATTGTGATGGGTCACAGAATTTGGTGTAACACCTGTTACGCATCGGTCTCTGCAGCTGAACAGCTGATCATGTTGTTGTTCTCTGACTCCGCTGAGTGCACTCCACAGGTAAACAGCTACAGACAGGAAACAACGATATTTTTTCATAGTTACTTTATTTGTTTTATTGTATTTGTGGTCGATTTTTTTCACACAGACCATGGTAAAAAATAATTTAAAATATAATCAGCCAGCAAAAGTGATTTATTTGCCTGTAGATATAAAGATTGTAGTAGCATTTTTATTGTCTTTAAATTAAATATTAATCTGCAAAATAACCCCACATTGTCCCTGATTTCAGTAAAAATTATTTGTTCATTTATTTTGAAAACACAAATTTCTAACATGCAATCAGTTGCTTTATGTGCACATCAGCAGAGCCAAAAAGTCATGCTCGTACCACCTGCTATCGGGCCACAAACTGTTTTACATGTTGTGTCCGCCGCATTTTGCACACCGATCGGCAAGACTGTACTGAACCACAGCTGGGCCAAAAAAGAAAGTAAGCATCAGTTCAACTACTGCACATTTAAATTGGGCCAATTAAAAAGGTAAGACGATCAGCCGATCCAGACCTCAGCCAACAGTGCCAGAACTCAGCCGACATCGGCCCTACTGTGCTTGCTGTGTGGGTCTCGTCTTCCATGGTGGCAGGAAGGCACTGACACAGATTTCATTCTCAGCCGGCTGCGGCTAGCCTGACAGCCAGACTATATATTCACATTTATACTTTAGTGAACTAGACCAAATTTTGCAAAGCAAGAATTAGGTCTAGTTCACTAGGCTAGGCTGCGACGGTTGTCATAAAGGAAAATGGGACGTAGCTATTGTTTGTCAGTGAGAGTGAAATGTCTCCTTCAGGCTAACGTTGCAGCGTCAACATTTGTAATACGACACCAGCAGGCAAATGCTCCAGAGTCGTTTAAAGAGCTGAAGCCAATAACAAGAGCTACCCAGAACCTTTTTCTTGTACCCCTAAGAAGCCATGGCATCTTTTTTTTTTACTCTAATATTGGGTGAAGCAGGCTAGAGGCTAACAATGCTAAAGGTGAATTAGAAGCAAATGGTCAGCTGTAAAAATATCCAAAACTACTTTTTCAAAGACCAACAACTGAATATTACAGTGAAATGTGAATTAAATGAATAATGAGTCAATCGTGGCATTTTACTTCCTACAAACCTCCTCCCACAGGGCGTGGTTGAGCAGGGGGTTGGCCTGCAGCTTTGAGTATTTTAGTGTTGGAATATTATATAGACTCCTCCGCTGATTAATCGAGTATTCTATTTGATGATGTTTCACGTGAAACGAGACTGTGGTCTGCTGCTAACAATGAAAATAAAACAGCTAAATTATAAAAATAATAATTCAAATTATATATATCAAACTGGTGTTCCCTCTTTCCTAGCTGATATTTATAGTTAATAAATATTTTATGGAACAAAATTTGACTCGCATTTCATTCACATTTTAGGTTTGTTCTCATAGCACTCATCCTAGTTAAAATAAACATCTAAATATATTCACGTATAATCACTAGAATTAATTTATTTCATTAACATGTTCAGTAGTAAACTACTGGAAATGCTAACAACATTTAATTTCTACTGGTAATTTAATTGTAGTATGTATATGATATTATGTACAGGTTGGCAACAAAATCCAGTCTAAATTGTATTCAAATGTAAAAGCGTTAGTGAATTACATGCAACCACGGCTTGCCAAAGACCTGCTGTGGTAATAATAATAATACATTTTATTTAACAGCGCCTTTCAAGACACCCCAGGACACTACAACAATGGGGAAAAGATAATAAAACAAGATAAACACAGAACAGAAATATGTAAAAACACTAGGATGCTAAAATTTTAAACAATGTATTAAAACTATGTGGTAAAAGCCTGTGTGAAGAGGTGGGTTTTGAGTTTTGATTTAAAAAATGCGAGAGCAGACTCGTAGCAACAACCAGACGGTAGCAGCAGCGGCTCTGCTCCACACTGCTGCAGACATCCACACAGAAACGGGACGGTGGGATTTTACTTCCTCTTGTAGAGTTTAGTCGTTCACAACATCACGTTTTTTTCTGAACCACACTTGCTCGTGAGAATGCTACTCGCTAGCTTAGCATTAGCAATTCTGCTCGTAATTTTATTCTTCAGCTCAAACGTAGGACCGTTTCTGCCTTTTCCAGTGGTTTGTGTCTCTGCCGGTTCCTCTGTTTTCTCCACAGTGGGGTGGCAGGGGTGAGGTTGTGCTCATTCCTCAAAATGAAAAATAAAAAATCTGTAGTCCACTGGGCCCCATTAGGAATTGTGCCCAAGGGTCATTTTTATTAAATAATATTTGCCCTCTGTGAGGTCCGCCCATGTCCTCTCCTGCTCTTCTCAGTCGGGAGCCTCCTGACGGGGGGCAGTTTTCAATCTCCTTAAACTCTGAATATTTCAGTAGAAACACCCAAAAGTGTTGCTCAGATTGAAGTTACGCATCTCCACTATCTTCTGTCTAAAATTATAAGTTCATGAGGGATTATATTTACAGCTGTGGCGCGTTAAACCCAGGTCACAGTATTTTGATGTTGGCACCTAAAGGGTTAATTGTACGGTCTTTTTTCAGCTATAAGCCTGTACATTTATAATTTATAAATTATTATTGAATGTACACAAGTGGGGACAAGTGAAACACTTTATTTAGAGTTTGAGTTGATATTGTCGGTGCTAAATAAATATTTTCATATTTTGTAACAGATTTATTGTAAGGCCTTGGTTTTAGTGAGGTTAGTACACATCAAAGCCATAAGTGCTATGGTTCTAATTATTGACATAATCATTTATTTTGGTGTTTCGGTTTTCGGCCAAGAATTTAAATTTTTGTGCATTCCTAGTATTTATCTTATTATCAACCTACTGTGTATGACTATTCTTCACTCGTCATCTAGATCTTCTGGTGCTGATCCGTAAGTGGCAACAAGTGGCCTGCCAGACTCGTCCTCTGTTTAATTCTGCACAGCGACTGAGTCTGGTAACTCTCTGCAAAGAGCACCATGAGAGGCGGGACTAGCCAGCTCAAGTATAACCAGTCAGAAAAAAGACGGAAATCCCGACTGTACCGCACGACGCTGTAGTTTTCTAGTTGTAGCAACAAAAAAAAAGGCATCTGGCAACGGCGAAAAAATCTTTTTTTTTTTTAGAAGAAATGCTTTTAGCGCTTCTTCTTGTGGTTTTAAACACATTTGAGTCATTTAGAACAGAGGAAAGAGCCGCAGCAAACTCTGCCACTGTCTTTGTTGTTTATGAGAAACTGAGCGTCGATGTGTGTGACGTCCGCGACGCTGTAGTTTTTTTTAGCTGTAGTAAAAATGGAGTCTGGCGACAGCGTAAACATCTTTCTTTAGAAGAAAGGCTTTTAACGCTTCTACTTGTTGTGTCCAAGTCATTTAGAACAGAGGAAAGAGCCGCAGCGAACACCGCTTCAGTCGTCATGTTCGACAAACTCGGTGTTGTGGTGTGTGACGTATGCTACTCAGCGTTGATTGGCTCGGTTAGAATTCTCATGGGGTGGGGTTATTTGAATAGGAGAGTTCCCAGACTCGTTCTCTGTGCAGAATTAAACAACGACCCCTGGCTACTCGAATTAAACAGGAGGAGTCTGGCAGGCCAGGCTAAGGAAAGTCACCTTTTTCTTAGAGAATTAGACAGCAGTTACCATATCCGACCACAAGTTATCATTTTTATTGTGTTCTTGCATAATGAACCTTTAAATTAGATATTGGGACTAAAATGAACTGTTTCAGGTGGTTGAAATGGTGGGTAGAGGCTTAAGAAGAGTGGAGATGTTGTGATGGACATGAAGCTTAATGAATTTAAATGAAGTTGAAAGAGCAACTGAGCTTCTGATGAAGGATTCGTGTGTGATTATCTGTGTTTTGTCCAGGCAGAGAGGTTCCTGATCTGTGGGAGTTCGACTCCATCACTCCACTGTTCAACCAGACCATCGTAGAAGGACCTCATTCAGGTTTCTTTAAGCTGGTTTCTACTGGTCTCTGAGCAGCAGATGGCAGCTCCAGATTGATGTAGAACAGTTTAAAACCGAATTAAAACTTGGATTTTAGATCACAATTATGTCTCCTAAATTAATCTCAACAGTTTTGTTTTAATAATTTGAAGGATTTAAATGTTTGCTGTTCTGAAGGAAAAGTGTGAGATGCTCCTCCTGTTGTGTAGTGTATTTTTGATGGAATCTGCATGGGCAACAGAGAGATGAGGGACTAATGTAAAATTTAAAAGAAAGAGGACTAAAGGGTGGAGAGGTGGGAAACTAAGGGAGTAACAACAGCCCTGTTTCCATTACCGGAACTCCAGGGTAAATTCCTGGGATGAGGAAATGGACCAGGAGATGGGATGTCCCAGTCCTCTCAGCTGTTGTGTCTCTATCCAATGCCAGCACATCGAGGCAACTTTGGCAGTGTGATGTCACTGATCAGCGTCACAAAGTGCCCACGGTAACATTAATACTATTAAAAGCATTTATTCTGTTGAAGTAAATCATACTTGAATCCATCCAGAGGACAGCAGCTGCGTGATGTAAAATGTGGTGTTCAATGACTAGGCGAAGGGTCGTTTTTTACAGCACTCTGTGAGACAACAAAGCCCCCTCAATTAAGTCTGTGGGGGATTTCCCAGTTTTTTTCCTTTGTTGGGAGTTTAGTAACAGCTGTGGGGAAATCCCGCCGTGTTTCCCGGTGCCGGGAGTTACATTTTAAATGCCATAGGTGTTTATTTTCTTTTGCTTTCAGTCTGCTTCACCAGCAAACCTTCTAATATTACTAATGCTGGTTGTTTTGGACGACATCTGCTGAGGTCATTTCCTACTCGGTTACAACCAATCAGTGTGAGTTAACCGAAGGTTCCGCTCAGCTACTCCACCTGGCTTTAGTAGTACCTACTCCTGTGTGGGTAGTCAGAAGGTTCCTGAGAGTGGCCGGCCCGGTCAGGTGGAGAGGCGTGTCGGGAGGTTCTACCCTGAAGTTCTGGTAGTGGAAACACGGCTAATGATGGGAACAACAAAAAGCAGGGTTGAGACAAAAATAAACTAAAGGATTATTGTTCTTACTGTTTGCACCTACATTTCTGTCTTTGGGATTTTGTTCTTCACCTGGTTAGGAGAAACCGTTGAACCACATTTTCTATATAAAACTGTAAATAGAGCGAAGAAGTTGTTCAACAAACTTTTCCTTTTTCTCGTGGAACAGCTAATCTCTCGTCTATCAGACTTCCTGCTGGTGAGTACATTAGCACGTTCAAAAAGCTCCTTTTAGCATCTGCTGCCATCAAAAGGACTCTGTCAGTTCTCTATTTTAATGGTCAGGATGGCACCAACTGCCCACGAATCTGAGTCACGTCTCTCCGTCTGGGATGAGCTCCATGTTGACCAGCAGAGACTTTTCTACCGCACACGGTGAGTCTTTCCAGGAGAGAAGCCTTTGATTTTCATTCTTTCATTTATCCTGATAAATCTGACTTTTGCACAGGAGGCATTTTTAGATTGTCCACAGTACCTTTCAGCAGTTTCTCAGCAGAATTAAATTAACTTAGTAAAAATGTATTATAATTTAAATGTACATTTTATTGTGTTTGTGAAGCATCTTGTGGCTTCTATTGGGAAAGGTGCAATAGGGAGCCTAAGTCGTCTCCTCTCCATGTTGGTTACATTAAACGGGGCAGTAAAAGTTATTTTATAAAATTTATTTTCTGGTTCTCTTTGCTTTACACATATGCTGTACTTCAATTTAGCAGGATTTTGTAGCCGTGGTGCAGCGACTGAACAGCTGAGCCTATGTAGGGGAAACACTGGCACATGACCATGGAGGGTCGACCTCAGTTTATGTAATAAAGCTGCTAAGAGGACTGTTCAGAATAGATGTTGGTGAGAAATATGAAAAAGGACAGGTTTGTGAACTGGATACACATAATTTGAATTTGATAGTAAACGGATAAAATATTACACACTGTGGCTCTAAACATTGACAAACATAAGGATTTCTCCTTGGCCAGATTCATAGCGGCTTTTTCCGTGTTTAATGCTTCTTGTTTTGTTTTGGAAGAAGGATGTGAAGCTTGCTAAACTCTCAGCCATTTATCTTCTCTTGTCTGATTTGATGACGTAAATTTGGTAAGATGAGATGTTGTAGACCTTTTGTGTTTTCACACAAAATGTAAAGTAACTTTTGCCGCCTGTAGAAAATAAGCTCTTTCTTGGCATCAAAATGTTTTTTCAAAATTATTAGTCATCACCCATGGCACATATCAAACAGGATCAGAAGAGAACTTATCGGCGCATAGACTCTCTTTCATTTGTTTCGGCAGACGCATAGTCTGGAAGTAGATGGTTTTACGTTTCAGATCATCACTTAGTTTACTCATCATCAAATCCACCATTTAAATTTATAGACATTGTTTGATTTAAACTTCTCTCTTTAATGTGAAATGACCTGCTAAAATATTTGTCTCCTTTATTTTTGATAATCAGCTTCTCCAAATCTGAGCCGAACTGCTGCAACGACAGATAGAGTCAGAACTTCTGAGCACATCACGACAGCACTACATCCAACACCTGAGACGACTCTACATCCAACACCTGAGACGACTCTTCATCCAACACCTGAGGCGCCTCCACGTACGACCTCTGAGACGCCTCCACGTACGACCTCTGAGACGCCTCTACGTACGACCTCTGAGGCGCCTCCACCTATGACCTCTGAGAGGCCTTCACATACGACCTCTGAGATGCCTCCACATACGACCTCTGAGACGCCTCCACATACGACCTCTGAGATGCCTCCACATACGACCTCTGAGGCGCCTCTACGTACGACGTCTATGACGCCTCTACGTACGACCTCTGAGACGCCTCTGCGTACAACCTCTGAGACGCCTCTACGTACGACCTCTGAGATGCCTCTGACCTTAGGGGTGCTTCTACAAATGACCTCTGAGATGCCTCTACATACGACCTCTGAGACGCCTCTACGTACAACCTCTGAGACGCCTCTACGTACAACCTCTGAGACGCCTCTACGTACGACCTCTGAGATGCCTCTGACCTTAGGGGTGCTTCTACAAACGACCTCTGAGATGCCTCTGCGTACGACCTCTGAGACGCCTCTACGTACGACCTCTGAAACGCCTCTACGTATGACCTCTGAGATGCCTCTGACCTTAGGGGTGCTTCTACAAACGACCTCTGAGACGCCTCTGCGTACGACGTCTGAGACGCCTCTACGTACGACCTCTGAGACGCCTCTACGTACGACCTCTGAGACGCCTCTACGTACGACCTCTGAGATGCCTCTGACCTTAGGGATGCTTCTACAAACGACCTCTGAGACGCCTCTGCTTACAACCCCTGAGATGCCTCTGCCTACGACCCCTGAGACGCCTCTACGTGCGACCTCTGAGATGCCTCTCCGTACGACCTCTGAGATGCCTCTACATACGACCTCTGAGACGCCTCTGCGTTCAACCTCTGAGACGCCTCTACGTACGACCTCTGAGATGCCTCTACATACGACCTCTGAGACGCCTCTGCATTCAACCTCTGAGACGCCTCTACGTACGACCTCTGAGATGCCTCTGACCTTAGGGATGCTTCTACAAACGACCTCTGAGACGCCTCTGCTTACAACCCCTGAGATGCCTCTGCCTACGACCCCTGAGACGCCTCTACGTGCGACCTCTGAGACACCTCTCCGTACGACCTCTGAGATGCCTCTACATACGACCTCTGAGACGCCTCTGCGTTCAACCTCTGAGACGCCTTTACGTACAACCTCTGAGATGCCTCTGACCTTAGGGGTGCTTCTACAAATGACCTCTGAGACGCCTCTACTTACGACCTCTGAGACGCCTTTACGTACAACCTCTGAGATGCCTCTGACCTTAGGGGTGCTTCTACAAACGACCTCTGAGACGCCTCTACGTACGACCTCTGAGACGCCTCTACGTACGACCTCTGAGACGCCTCTACTTACGACCTCTGAGACGCCTTTACGTACAACCTCTGAGATGCCTCTGACCTTAGGGGTGCTTCTACAAACGACCTCTGAGACGCCTCTACGTACAACCTCTGAGATGCCTCTGACCTTAGGGGTGCTTCTACAAACGACCTCTGAGACGCCTCTACGTACGACCTCTCAGATGCCTCTGACCTTAGGGATGCTTCTACAAACGACCTCTGAGACGCCTCTGCTTACGACCCCTGAGATGCCACTGCCTACGACCCCTGAGATGCCTCTGCCTACGACCCCTGAGACGCCTCTCCGTACGACCTCTGAGATGCCTCTACATACGACCTCTGAGACGCCTCTACGTACAACCTCTGAGATGCCTTTACGTACAACCTCTGAGATGCCTCTGACCTTAGGGGTGCTTCTACAAACGACCTCTGAGACGCCTCTACGTACGACCTCTGAGACGCCTCTACGTACGACCTCTGAGACGCCTCTACGTACGACCTCTGAGATGCCTATACGTACAAACTCTGAGATGCCTCTGACCTTAGGGATGCTTCTACAAACGACCTCTGAGATGCCTCTGCTTACAAACCCTGAGATGCCTCTGCCTATGACCCCTGAGACGCCTCTACGTGCGACCTCTGAGGTGCCTATACGTACAACCTCTGAGATGCCTCTGACCTTAGGGATGCTTCTACAGACGACCTCTGAGACGCCTCTGCTTACAAACCCTGAGATGCCTCTGCCTATGACCCCTGAGACGCCTCTACGTGCGACCTCTGAGACGCCTCTACGTAAGACCTTTGGGGCGCCTCTACATACTACCCCTGAGACGCCTCTGCGTATGACCCCTGAGATGCCTTTGCGTACGACCCTTGAGATGCCTCTACGTGCAACCTCTGAGATGCCTCTACGTAAGACCTTTGGGGTGCCTCTACATACTACCCCTGAGATGCCTCTACGTACAAGCTTTGAGACGTTTCTACAAACGACACTTGAGATTCCCCAACAAATAACCCCCGAGACGTCTCAAGATTTGATAGCTCAACATTTTACAGAGGTACCTCGATATATGATGACCCAACTTACGACTACCCGAAATAGGACCTCTGAGACATCTTTTCATACAACGGCTGGGACACCTGGACACTCACCAGCTGAGAAGTTTCGACATCCAACCACACCTCGACCCAAAACATTTGACACGCCTCAACATCTAATGTCACCTCAACATATGATGCCTGAAATGTCTCTACATATGACCTTTGAGACGCCTCCATATACGACACCTGAGCCATCTCGACATAGGATATCTGAGACTCCTCAACACTCAGTCGAGAAACTTCTGCATCCAACATTACCTCGACACAGAACTTCAGAGGTGCCTCAACATCCAACTTCTCCTCGACATACGACCCCTACGACTCCTCAACATTTGTCAGCTGAGATGCGTCAATATGAAACCACCTTCATGACTCCATCTACGGTCCGAAGTCCTGAGACGTTAAACACCTGGATGACTCAAAGGTTTAGCAGCTTGTTGATCAGAACGACACTAACTTCACCAGCACAGACGGTGACGATACCGGACGAAGCCTTAACAATGAGACAAGCTAAGGAGAAAACCCCAACTTTACAGCCAATGAGAACCCTGAAACAACCAGCCAGCAGCGTGAAGGTGATGTCTGCTACAACCAGAGTTACAGATCCTTCTGTTACATCTCGACTCACCGCATGGCCTCAAAAAGTCCCAGCAGTCATCTCACCTGTGATTGGGCTGCCTCAACTGACCCCTGCTCCAATTAAATCTTCTACAGGACCTTTACCACCCCGACCCACAAAACGGCCAGCCTCAGGAAAGAAGACGACTCAAAGCAGAACCACAACGCCCAGCAAGCACGAGGAAACAGAAAAACCAGGTAGATATTTATTCTTACTGGTTCATGTGAATTAATGCATGTGGGAACTTCTATAATATGTTGCTATGTTTGATAAGGAAATGTAATTATTGTTTTAGTGTGATGAACCGATTTATTAGATACTTAAGGATGCCAGGAGCTCCACCTCAACTAAAACGGGACACTTAGCAGTTATGGCCTGCTTTTAGCACCCCCTAGTGTCCATTTTAATTCAGTGTCGCAAAAGCTAAACTGCTGTACTCTCCTCCTCGCTGTACGTTTGTGTTTTTAACACCTTAATCTAACTTCTGAAATGTCTCCTCAGCCTTTATTAGTTTCTACAGGAGTGATTCATCACTAAATTAAACAAATCAGCTGTGTTTACAATCTAAAACATGCAGGAAACATGTTGGAAGCAGACTGCAGCACTAGCATGTTGGCTAACCACTTTACTATTGGCTAACAGAGTTCCTGGTAAATAATGACTCCTGAGAGGAGGAATCATGTGACCACAGTGAAATTTTGTAGCATGTCAGAAAACCTAAACGTGGAAGTCGGAGCGCTGGGTCATCACGGACAGGCATGTTACCACAAGCTATGAGCAGCTAGCAGACAGGACTGGCCAGCGGCTGGCTGGCAGCACGGCTCAGCAGCAGATGTCTAAGGGTCGCTGAGGATTGAAGTTAAGGGTTATTTTAGCACATAATGGCTCAAAAAATATTTTAAAATGTTAAAAGTAGTTTAGTATGCCTTTTATACTGTTCTGGTAACAAATCTGTCATGATTACTCCCAGTGGTAGTTACCATGGTGACCTCATGAGGCATCTGTTGCAGCTTTAACATTTCTGGTATCCAGTTTCTATTTACATTAAATGTGCTACTCCACAACAGTGTCTTGAAGCCAATGATGAGAAGTAAATCCAAACAAAAGCATACCTACTGGTCACTTTACTGGTGTGTCAGATAAAACTGTTAGCAGACGGAGACAGACGTCCTTTCCTCTCTTTTCTGTAATTGTTTCGGCTTCTAGTGAAGCACAAATATCAACAAATGGCCCTGATTGTGATATGAAGATCAGTGCAACATTAAAGTGTTTCCAAAGGCAAAGATGTGGTCCAGTTAAGTGCTTCTGTGCTGCGGGGAGGCAGCTTGACTCTGACAGCTGACCTGCTCTCTGAAAAGCAGCTGTAATTACAACACATCCACTCACTGTCATTTCTGGCCTCACCGCCGGCTACTGATTCAGCTTTAGCCCTGGGGAAAAGGTGTGTTATCTGTGTATGTCCGAGCTTGGGAGGGAGACACAGGACACAACTAGGGATATGGTAACTATGGCAACGCAGGGCTCGGCCCTCATCCCTGGGGTTGGTTTAATGCAGAAGAGCTTCAGAATGACAATAATCCACAGATCTAACAAAGAAGGACGCTGTTAACGTTAAACACTCGTCTTTACATTTTCTATAGATGATCCTGAGTTTTATCTGGTTTCTGTTCAGCTGTGTTGTTCCCAGTAAAACCAGTAGATGGCATAAAGACCACACTACAACACCTCCTCCCTCTCTGAGTTTCGCCTAGCAACAAGCAGGATCCTCAGCAGTTTGTCACTGAGTCATTAGTTTGCAGTGAAGCGAGCCAGCGACACATGTCTGCACGCTCTGTGTTGGCTCGTGGATGCCGCTGTCGCCTACATGCGTGTCGACACGCTCACGCCAGCATAGAGAGGCTGATCTGTGTCAGCTCCGATAACACGGCAGATCGTTCCTGTTCACAGGAAACATAAAAGTCGGAATAGCTGCAGGGTTTCAGAGGGTTCGGGAATGCCGGAATAAATAATGTAGGAAAAGATCCCAACAGAGTTATAAAAATATAGATCTTAAATCTTATGAATCTGTAATTTAAAAGGTGTGTGTGTGTGTGTGTGTGTTTACTATATTAATGACTTAAATGACTAGATTTTGCTTCTTTGGTTTCTGACTTTTGTCTCTGATTTCAGCTTCTGGAGCTGAATATCTTCCTCCAGGACACCAGCATTAATCTGGCTTTGTCTGCATCTTTTATTCTCTACATCTGTGTGTCTCAGTTTGTATGAATCTCATGAAGGTTTATCTGTCTTTATATCGATAAATCTGTAAATTTTATTCTAAACAAGCCACTTTCACTATTTAGCTGGATCCTATTGTTTCTAAAAGTCTCTACCTACCTGCATAGATCCATCTTTCTCTTTTCCCTTTGTCTTTAATCTCTTTATCAGTGCCTCACTGGTGGAGTTCAAGTATCTTGGGGTCTTGTTCACGAGTGAAGGAAAGCTGGACCTTGAGATCGACAGGCGGAGTGGTGCTGCGTCTGCAGTGATGCAGGCGTTGTACCGATAAATACAATAAAGTTTATCTCTTACTAAATAGAATATTTACTAAGAAGTCACAATGTAACCATAGAAACACTACTTGGTATATATGGTGTTGTGTGTGTGCTCTGTCTTCTCGATCCCCAGTGAGTCGTGATGGATGGCTGCCTATACTGAGCTAGGATCCTCTGGAGGTTTCTTCCTGTTAAAAGGGAGTTTTCCTCTCCACTGTCGCTGCATGCTTGCTTAGTATGAGAATTGCTGTAAAGACTCTGACACTAGTCAGTGACTCGATGCAACCTGCTGGGTTCCATATTTAGGAATCTTTTTGCTGATAGGCTTAATGACCTGACCTTTTTTGGTGCTTAATAAATAAACTTGAATTGAATGTGAAAGTGTCTTGCCCAAGGACCAACTGGAGTTTTCTGTTTGTGGGGAATCCTTAGAAAATCGTCTCCTTTGATGAGATCTCTTGATTCTCCAGCAGCTTCATAAGGTGATGTTCAGATGGATGGTTGTTCTTCTCTGTTTCAGCTGATCAAACCCCAGTAACCCTGCTGAAACCTAAATATGCCCAGAAGATAAAAATGTGTGTTAATTTATAAATGAATCACCTTCAAAAGACGCACCTGTGTTCAGAATGGTTCAGTTCCATTTCTAGTGAGCTTCCACCTGGTCCCACCTCACCACTGTCGGCAGAGTGAGGACAGATGTGGAGAATAACGAGTGTCTACTTAAAATTCCTTTAAATCTGTGTTTTTATGGTAGTTAGGAGCCTCAGCAGCAGATAATAGCTGAGGTCCTGGTGACTCCCAGAATTATGCAGGATGTTTGATATCTGTGAATCATGTCTGTGAAGGATCAGTGATTAATTATGACGTGCTTGTGGGGCAGTTTTAATGTGTGGCATCACCTTTTGTGGTGTCGCGTTTTAATCTGTAATTAAGCACCAAACGTCTGTGAAGCTAGTTCGTTCACGCTCCAGACTTTGATTTCTTTGTGTTTTCTGAGAATTTTAAGCCTAAACTGTAGAAATGAAGCCATCTGTGACTGAAGTGACCTTTTCTCTGTTGAGAGGCTGTCCTTGGAGGAGATCGGAGCTGAGCGCCGAGTCCGCCTCCAGCAGCGCGGCGACCGTCGGCCCTCACAAGCTGCAGCCCTGCGTCCTCGAGCTCTGCAAGTTCTTCTCTCAGTGTCTCTGCAGACCATCCAGCCAGAAGAGTCACTCCAAAAGGTTCTGACACTTCTCTGCAGTGAGATCACACCCCTGCAGAGTGGGACTTTATTATATCCAGAAGTAATAAACCAGTTTGGGGGAAAAGATCCCCTCAAACATCTTTCAAAATGGTTTCAGCTGAAGCATGACTTGTGTCTGATTCACAACCCTAAAGGATGCTTGTCCAACCTTCTGATCTTTGTAGAAATTATAAACACGCATGACCTCGTCAAGCTTTAGTCAAGATGAAATCAGGCCATCTGAAGGAATTTTGTTACTGACTATTAGGGCTGCTCCATTACGGTTTGAGTTTTGAACGATTATTAAAAAAAACAAGCCAGTTATTTGCTCCTCCCTTGTGGTTTACTACGGGTTGCAGTTTCGAACGCACCTCCCAACAGCATTGCCAACGTTTAGCAACTTTGTCGCTATTTCCAACAACTTTTCACTTTTCCCAATCTCTGACTTATTTTTTCTAAAAGTACATAGTGAACAACCTAGAACATTTCTGGTAACCTGCAGGTTAGCAAAGAACTCAGCCTGTGCTCCGTCCTTCCGAACATTAGGAAAGGGAATGATGTAGGGAAGCGTCGGTCATGAACGAAATGGCTCAGAGCCAGTTAACTGTTGGATGAGCTGGAGTGACTGAGACACACACTGTACCCCCAGACTCCTGAGCTGTTAAAGATGGGGATATGTGCGGCACGCTGCACACACACGCTGTGTGTCCCTGGTTCCTGTGAGACCAGGAGAGGGTGTGTGTGTGTGTGTGTTACAGCGCACCTCTGATCACTGTGACAGCAGGGAGAGGGGTGGCGTAAATGCCTTGGACAGTTATTACATTAACTGATGGGACCCGTAAATGGTTTAGAAATAAGCTCCTCGTGCTGATGAACAATAATTCCTCTCTCTGAGACGCTGCGTTGCTGCTGTACACTCCGACATAGATGTCAGATAGATTTATTTTATATAGTAAATGCATTAATAATTCTTGGTGTGTTATGTAGGCTTATATAAGTTAAAGCTCAGCCTAAACCCTTAGGAACAAGTGTATTGGCTCTTTTCAGGAGGTTTTGTTATTATCTTCTTTCTTTTCTTTTTATTTATTTTTCCTCTGATTTTGCCTTGTGCAATTCTATGACCAAATAAATAAATACGGTAAATAAAATAAGCATGATTAAAAGCTCAATCTGTCAGAATAATCGTGATTATTATTTTTGCCATAATCGAGCAGCCCTACTGTCATATCTGATTTACACAAGAAGCTAAAATGGCTCTGTTTCTGTTTCTATTTTTAAACCATAAGGTCTGAGCTGATTTCTCTTCTCTCTCAGGTACTGTGACGACAGCCACCTCTGGTATGAAAAACACACGTCTGAAATCTGCGGACGAGTCAAGAGAGTCTCCTTCTCCAGAAGTGAGTGACCCGGACAGAGATGTCCGGTCCACCCTTAGCTCATTCACTGCCAATGATGTCCAGTGCTTTGAGGACCAGGGCTGAAAAACACTGGTCTAAAGTATATTTGCTTTTCAAACTCAGTCAACTTCACCTCTATAAACTTGAAGGTTATATTTTTCTTTCAATAGATTTGCCATATTTATTGTGTTGATCTCATTACCAAAGTCATGTTTCACTCAACTTTACAATTTAAGAGTCTCTATTCCTCAGCCACAACAAAATTAAATGTATAGTTGCAAAAAAAAAAAGATTAGTAGTATGGGGGGCAACGCGCTGTGCCAGAGTGTCGGTACTGACACGCGATCGTTCATGTCGGTTCATTTCCTTTAATGTTTTCTGTCCTTTATTTGCGCCTGATGCGTTTCGCTGCTGTGGAGCGGGGCGCATCAACTTGTCATCCGGTGATGCACCGATCACTGATGCGGCCGCCAAGCAGCGTGCACTCCGCTGTTTTTGCGGTCGGTAGATCTTTTAGAACTGCAGTTCAAAGGTAACTCATAAGGTGAATATAAATGAAGCCAGGTAGCAGTTTTTCTTTAGGATTGAGAGGAGATGCAGGAAGATAATAAACAGACAGGACAGAAAAATAGTCAAATAAAAACAAGTTAGTTTTTGTACCTGCTGTTGCAACAAACAGACACCATTGAAGGTAATCAGAAGTGAGGAACAGAAAATGAAATAATTATTTTAATGTTTAGAGCAGCAGGAACTCCGAGAGGCTGCAGGCGCATCAGTGAGTTTGCGGCCGCTGCGCAGGGGGAGGGGGGAGAGGGCTGAAGCAGAAACTACCGTTGTTAAAAGAAATGTGTTTAACTTTGAAAATGTGGGCGCAATTTTAATTGTCAAAAACTCCAGCGAACCATTAGTTCATTTTGCTCAAATAGAAATAGAGGCCTGCCTCTAATTCTGGCCCTCCTTCCAATAAAGGCCTGGAGCTTGATGAGCTTGAGTCAAATACAGGCCCGGGCCTGTATTAGAGGATTTACGGTAATGTATGTAATACATGTCCACTAAAATTATTGTTATTTTTTGATTTTGGAAACGTGTAATATCTCAGAAACCGTTGCAGCACAAACGTCAGTTTCACCTGCACAAATCAGCACAAACGATGCACTAAAAAAGTAGACAATTATGGTCCATTTTGGAGCAGTTCGGAGTAGTCCGCGGGGAGACGGTGACCTCTGAATGACCTATAAAATAAAGTTTAATATCTCAGAAACCGTTGCAGCACAAACGTCAGTTTCACCTGCACAAATCAGCACAAACGATACACTAACCGAGCAGCCTATTTGCCTGCACTTGTGAAGCTGACAGGGGTCAGCTTCACAGAGCTTTCTGAATCGCCCAAGCTGCAAAAACGCGCACGCTCATTGCTCGCTCCCACGGTGCGCACAAACACAAACTGCGCGCGCACCAGGCGCTGGGATTCTAACAGAGCCAATAAAGTTAACGTGATGAGCTGAACCAGGACCCAAATTCCCGGTGGGCCGATCTGAGGTTGGTGTTTTTAGTCGTCTCTTTGTTTTTTCGGGCCGGTGTTCAGTCATGACACTCTGCTGATCACCTGCTGATGAGAGGATTTCTCCTGTCAGTGGAGCAGATGAGCTGCTGAACAAGCGTTAGTTCCTAGAAACACTTTCTATGCCCAGACTGTAGTGACCTGTTATTTATAATTTTATAATTAATATTAAGTGAATGCACTAAACCCACAAATGATAGAAGATAAGATTAAATATTATTAATCATATTACTATCAAATGTAAATAAGTATAACGGATAACTAATCTTAATGAAAAAAATGATATTAATATTTTTTTATTTTAATATTGATTATATTTCATTCCTGAGGTTTGGATGTCTGAGAACATTACAGAATATTCAGATTGGTGTAAAGAACATGATATTATTAATAACAGGTCATGATATAAAGCTGGTCTGAGGTATAAAACTCTGCCCTGGGCCTGAAGCCCTGCAGATATATTTAGTTTCTATAAACACCAACAACAAATAAATAACAGCAGCTGGATTCTACTTTGTTCCTTAAATTGAGTCACGTAGTTTTGCAAGTTCTGCAGCTCACACGTTCAACATGGAGCTCTGCCAGCTGATTGGTTCTTTTGGTATCTAGTGCGGTTCTGGTACTGAGCAGCATGGATGCATCAGTGGATTTCATTGTAGTCTGTGTTCATAATGGACTAAGAAAGGACTGAAAAACATTGTTAACTCAAATATATCATTATAATGAACATGTATAGATACTTTATCATGCATAGCTACCAGCCTGTAACTCTACTTTTCCCACCAAAAATGCACCAGACTGATGCGTTTAAATATAAAATGCCCAATAATCTTTTTCCAGGGGGGCATGCCCCCGACACCCCTAGAGTACTTTAATACTTAACATCTTTTTTACCTCAGATAAATCTCAACACCCACACTTTTAAACACTGTGCATGTGAATGGGTTATTCCACATTTTTCAGAAACATGAATACTGACCTTAAAACCAATCAAAACCTGAATAGTGGCTGTGTGTAAAAAATGTGAGCCCCCCCCCCCCCCCCCCCACCCCAATAAATTTCAGTCAGATGAGAATTTTTTGCTTCTATCCCTGTCATAAACTTCATAAAAGAGTGTCTAATCGTGCTGTAGACGGGTGCAGACAGTAGTTTAGCACTTTGGTGCATCTTAGTTAAAGATAAAATATGCTGCCTAAAACTGTCGGTGTTGCGCCGTCGTCAGGTAAAAACTCTGCACTGCATTTGAATGAATATCTGCCATCGCTACTGGCTAAGAGGCACTCTGTGATGTTAGCTGGTACATTATGATGTTACAATGTCATTGTGAACCTGTGTGCGTGTGTGTGTTTTAGCGGCTCCGCCCTCTCGGTCTGCTAGACAACAGCATTTGTTGCATTTTTCAAACAGGAAGTGGGAGTGGAGTAAGACTCTGGTGTGGGGTGACTTGCTCTTTTACTTTCATACCAAGAAAAAATAAAGAATACATTTTTTTAGTTTTGTGGGTCACTGAAGGTTTAACAAGGCAGCAATTAAAGGTGATGTTATGTTAGCTGATAATCGTGAACTTTTTATTGACAAAGTTCAGTAGATTGCTTTGCATTGATGCTTTTAATCAACAGGTTGGTCGACCTGCTAGTTAAAGGGTTAATCAAGCACTCTCTTGAACCCGGTGGTGTACAAAGTGTGGCTCGTGGGCCCTTTGCAGCCCTCAGATGCAGGTTCAGGATCAGAAAAGGCAGAGGAAGTTTGTGTTCTGGTTTCTACTAATGAGTCTGAGAAACTAGTGCTGATAAATCAGAAGGTTTTTACAAAGTTGAGGCTTTAGTCTGATTAATCAGGTTATTTTAGTTTGTATTGCTAATTAAACCTGGTTCCCTCCCTGACTTTTACTAAATCCAGCAACGGCAGAGAGTGACCCAGATCCTGATAACTGAGTTATTTAGACTAACGTACCAGAACCTTGAATTAAAAATGCTTCATCTGTATTTAAATATAATCCAGCAGAATAACAGCTTTCAGGGGAATTGTAGAACATCTGTTTGCCGAAGGTAGAAAATGTGTTTTTATTTGAATTGTTTTGAAACTTTAAACAAAAAGTTTTTCCACTAAGATCGTCCAACACTAACCAGCGAGAACATTAACAGACTGGATCATGTTGGAGCTTCAAAGCTGCAGAAAACAGAATAAATGAGTGAATCAGAAATAAGTGAATGCCCTTCATCCTTCACCTGCACTGATTGGAACGCGTTAGCCGCGGGTCGCTAATGGCGCTCATTAGAGCTGCAGCTACATGAACGTCCAGCGGCTTCCAGAAGGTCACAGGAAGTAGCGGCGCCGGTCCAGAATCAGCCCGGAGAAAAGAGTCCAAAAGCTGGTTTCACCTCTAAGCATCAGAGCTTTGGGTTAGCAACAAGGACCATTTGGTTATTTTATGAATGTAATTTAATTGCAGCCTAGCTAACTTTTCTGTAATCCTGAGTCTGGACCTGACAGGATTATAGATTTGTTGCTGTGAGCTTTAAGATGATTCATCTTTAACTGGTTCTTTATAAATAATCTAATGAGTGTGGAAATTAAAGTTTAAACAAAACATTAAAGAGTTATTTCAGAGAGGAGAGGGACGTCTGCTGCTGCCCCCGCGACCTGACCCCGGATAGGCAGGCAGGATGGATGGGCGTTTGTTTCATTTCACTGTAAAACAGAAGGGATCCTGATGGATTTATACATCTGTGAGACATTTTTAATTTAATCTGATGTCTGAATAAACGGTTTAACTTCTGGGATTAAATCTCAACGTTTATGTCACTGATCTGATGTAGCAAATGAATATAACTTCTGCTCTTCAGAAGAGTTACACAAACATGTCCAAACACACTGTGTGTGAGCCAGATAGAAGAAAACACACACACACTTTTTAATTGTTCCCCTTTTATTTACACCCCCATGCTTTTCCAGCTCTGAACACCAGCTGCTGTGTTTAAACCGCATCAGCCTTGTTTACGTGGACTTAAACTATAATTACACACACCTTAGGATCAATAGGGTTGCTATGGTAACCTGGAGCCTAAACGTATTAGAGATTCAGGTAAAACTGCAGGTTTGTTATTAAAAAGCAGCTTTTTACATTCCTAATATAACAAAACAAATCTGAGGCCATCTTTAATGAAACCTTTTAAAACCACTTTGTCTGTTTTTTGACTGCGCCGGGCGAACACTCGTGTCTAATTCTAGTTAGTTTACTTTTATTGCCACATAAACCCTCTCAGCCACTGCCCCTGGTGTCCATTACCTGCTCCCTAACCTCCTACTTCCACGTGTCCTGCCTCCACAGACTTGAAACAGAGATGCCTGTCAAAGATGTGCAGCAAACTGTGACCAGATGCAACAAAGACTCGTTCATCATCACAGGAAGTGACTGAAACAGCTAGGAGCCCCTCTGGAACATCTGGAACGACCATGGAAGCAGAACGTCTGGTTTGACTTTGTCATTGTTGGATATTAATCACTAACCTACTTTGTGATTTTACAAAACCAGATTATTTATCCACAAATCAAAAAGAATTATTTTGACAGTTTGGGAAAACAAATGAAATGATAGAAGATTAAAGATTTTTAAGTTAAAGAAACAGAAGCAGATTTTTGTTGTTTTATTTCTGAACATAAATTAGGTTTTATGTCGGGGCTGCACGTGGCCCTGATTCTAGATTTAATGACGTCATTTAGTAAATGATCACAAACATGTATGCGCGTACAACGTTAGTACCTCGTGTCTCCACGAGGGGCGATGAGGAGCTGGATGAGCGAATCAACCAAAACAAAAGTTAAATCAATGAGAAAATGCTAGAGAAGTAAACTCAAACTTTTTATATTGAGGTGGTTTTATGTTGGATCAGAGTTGTGGATTATTGTATCGTGAGAATATCGCGATTAGCTGTGATTCTTAGCGTAAAAACAGGATTTGTGCACGGAAATGTAACGAGAGTAAATTAACTTTTAGTCTAATTTCAAAATTTTAAGTTGAACTTAAAGCAGCCTTTTCTTTTCTTTTACTAAATGTGGCAATACACGAGGATGCTATAGATATGGCGTGCTCCAACACGCTGTAACCTTTTCCTTGGTTCAGGGAGCAGCCAACAGTGTCAACAATGCCACCTTGGGACTTTCACCCAAAGAAGTAGGTTTCAGAAGGCACATAAGTTTAGTCCACCAAATGAGGCATGAGACGTGGTTCCAAAAGTTACAATTGATTTAATTAAAAATAAAGTATAGATATATAGATGCTTAAAAATGTTCTGATTAAAAACAGGGCAGCAAGACAAACAGGAAATAAATTGCAGGACTGAGACCAACTGAAGGAGGGAATGGACAAACGGGGTGATAAATCCCAAAAAGAAACAAGCATAATAAAGTATAATAAAGTCACCCCAGGCAACAGTGAACATTCACTCCAGCGTGAAGGAACCAAGCCCCCACAATGCGGCTCAAAAATTGGAGCTATCCCGGAAGTACCAAAAATTCCAGTTCCACCCTCATCCGCTGGGGGCTGGTGTCAGAAGCGAGCAAATCCTCCAACAATACCAATTTCACAGCAGAAATAAACATGTTTACAGCCTGTTTCCAAAACATGTTTTTGGTTTAAATGATCAGTTTACACTCATGACAACTCTCAGGGGGGTGAATTTTTTTCTCACTCTTCTGTTTAAGTGTATTAAAAGCCTAAAATTCTGTATAATTAATGAGCATCAGACCCACGTGACCGCAGAGCTAGCTCCGTGGAAAGACCTCAGTAGAGCCTCGGTCTGGCTTGGAAACTGCTCCGGCATTTTGAGTCTCTGTGTTTGTGTATTCTTTTTTGGATATTTTTTTGTGCAATTGTTGGACAAAATGACTTGCTGTGGCATTAATTGCACTAATAGAGCGTCCAAGGAGTCTCCACTTCATTTTTTCGGTAAGTAAAATTATATTTATGTATTTTAGGTCACTGCCGAGCTGAGCTTAGATTTTAACATGTACTGTTTAACCATGAAATTTAAATGTAATAGAGTAAAACCCAGTGCATTTAACATAATGCTGCACTTTAGAAAATGGGTTGAAATATAACATGTTGGTGGAGCTGAGTTCCGACTATCGGCTTGTGGAGTTCTTCTCCCCTCCCCGCAGCTCGGCGCATCTCTGTCTGCTGCGCGGGCTGACGGCTTGTGGAGCTCTGGGATGGAAACCTTTCCACCCGGTTCTCCCCAGCGGCAGCTCTGCACATCTCAGATCGCAGCAGCGCTTGTCTGCTGTGTGGCTGCCGGCTTGTGGAGCTCTCGGGAGACCTCTGTGTTCCACCCGGTTTTACCCAGCGGTCAGCCCGGCGTATCTCTGACTCAGAAGCTCTGGTGTTGTGCACACTTAACTCCGGTTGTAGCTAGGTTGCTACCTCCGTTAGCATAGCTCCAACCTCTGCATTAGCTGTGGGTTAGCTTCAGGTTAGCTTGTAGCTAGTTCGACCGGGTGTCGTCAGTTGATCCCAGCCTTACAGCCCCACCCTCAGCTCCTCCTCTCTTCCCTTCTGTGGAATTGTCTGGGCTTGATGGAACCTGTGACACGGTCAAAATGGCGGTGGTGGCCACCTCCCATTTTAGCTCAAAAACTTATTATTGGAGGCTATGGAAACCCATTGTCCAATAATTATATGTCGATGGAAGGAACCCAGCCAGACCACAGAGCACAGTCTGCCAACTAGTATCATCCTAGGCCGCAAGGAAGCTTCCCCGCCCGGCAGCGCACAGGTGTTCAACACCTCTTCTCCAATGTTCAGTTCACTCTGGGATGAGCGGTAACGTCACGCCCAGCACAAAATAACCAAATGCCCAAGCACCAAAGCAGAGCCAATCACCTAGTGAGGCACAGTTTAAAGACACCAGCTGATGCCAGAAGGCAGTGTTTCCTTAGCAATAGCATTCTACAACAGTGAGCAGAGCTACCTTTTATACCCACAGCGCCCTCATGAGTACGGAAGCCGGTATGCACCAACCCACCTAATTTGGAGCAGGCTTGTTTCATCCTGCTACATAAATATTCTATAGAAACATTAATTATTTCTCAACACGTGATAAAGACTCGATCCACCCACTGCTCCACTGTGAAGGTGGAGGAACGTTTTGATTCTAAATGAGGATTTAATCTAGGAAGGTGGGATGGAGGAGAGATGGACCGGCAGTGATGAAGTTGTTTCTTCAGAAGGAGCTAAATTGGTCGTCATCTTTGGTCAGGAGATGCTGAAGATAAATCACTGAGGTAGAGATGAGGAGGAGCTCAGTTATCCACAGAAAAGATGCTGGTCCTCATGGAAGGGAGGGTATCGGATTAGGATTCCTCCAGGTTGTCTTTCCCATAGATGTTGTCCTGGCATCTGACACACACACACACACACACACACACACACACACACACACACACACACACACACACACACACACACACACACACACACACACACACACACACACACACACACACACACACAATTTACTATCATGTGATTTTAAAGGTTGAGGCTAATACGTTGTTCTTCTCCAGACCTCCCAGCTGGTGTTTCACGACCCACATCACTGGGAACCAGTTCTGTATGGTTCTTTAATCTGTGTAAGGTCACGTACACCTGTAGTATCACCTCTGATGCACCTGTCCAACACAATGCCCCACTTTCTGCCCCCCAGTAATTAAAACCAGCAGCCCCCCCCCCCCTCCCTGTTGGTCTGGGACCTGTGAATGAGACCAGTTAGAGCCCAGGTCACACATCCAGACCCCTGCTGGACAAAGAGCGCTCTGTGGATCCTCCTGCAGGGCCGCGATCTGTATTAAAGCCTAAATACCTGCGCAGGAACCAAACCAGGATAAGCTCCTGCTCAGGTGTCGACCGATAGCCAATAGGAGCAAAGGCTCCACTCCTCTTCTCTGGGATGGACTGATGAACAGGGAAGCTTAGAAATCCTTCTGCTGGGAAATAAAACTACAGGAAGAGGCTTTAACCTACTTAAGTGGCTCCAAAGGCCCACCAGAGAAGTCCAGTGTTGTGTCTTACTTAATGAAGAAACCAGAACTTCTGCTGCAGAAACCCACAGATAAGGTAAGATTTCATTCACTGTTACAGTTTTAACATGTTGAAGATCCAGAAGTCGTGATTATTTAAGGTTTTTGTGGTGATTCAGCATTAAAACATAGATTTTTACCTCTGTGGCCTTTAAGCCCTCGCTCCTATAGGATGTAATATTATTGTTAATATAGTATCTCAAGAGTATTAATGAGCTAAAGACTAGATACCGATATCAGACATGGGGGCTCGGGTCTGAGACTTGGACCTGAGTCATGCTGGAGTAAACCGAAGACCACTAACAGGCATTTCCTTTCATCAACCCTAACCTAACCCTGGATGAACTAAAGACGGAGTTTGGAAACACCCAGTCGAGACTGAGATTTGTCCTGAGGACTTGATACTTCACTGACACATTTAAGGGATAGTCTTGACTTGGACTTGCCCTTAAAAATGTTTGGACAAACTTGCTCTGAAACTAGACTGGACTTGTCCTCGTAAGTCTTTGGACTACACTTGGACATTTAAAGAATGAGGACTTGACTTGGCCTTACCCCATAAAGACTTAAACAGGTGGCGTAGACTTTTCCAGCCTAGACTCGTGACTTGTTGTTTACATGTGACCCGGTCCAGCCCCTCAGCTGTCAGACAGATAGACTCTAGACTACCTCGGTATTCAGAGAAGTTCATGGTCGACTCGATGACTCCAAGGAGCCCAAATCATCATCCCTCCACCACCGTGCTGATGGCTGGTTTCAGCTGTTAGTGATGCAGTGCATTCTGGGTAACATCTCCACTTTGCTCTTGTTTATTTAAAGGATGTAGGACTAGAAGTGCTGTGGTTTGAGTTTACCTAAGCCAAGCAGCCATGTTGGTTTTAGAGGGAAGAACGTGTTCTCTCGTGACCTTTAACCTGTTGTGAGGTTTCACAACTTAAGTTTTGGAAGTTAGAAAACTCAGATTATTTCATCTCTCCCGAGAGATAAAAATAAAAGCATCACTAAAATGTAAGCATTCCTGGAGGAGTGCACGCCAACCACCTGTTGATGATCTTAGTTAGCCAAAGCCGCCATCTTGAATTATAGAAACTTCGAAGATTAGTCATTCATGGATAAACATCCGAGAATTTCAGGAGTTTCATTTAAATCTGTCCAGTGGTCCGAGTGATGTGTTAGCAGTCACGTTCACAGGTGAGAACATGAGGGATAAAGTGTTTCTATTGGCTCCTGAAGAGCAGGTAAACAGTCTAATGTTCCTCTAACCTGGAGCTTTAGAGCTCTCAGATGGTTGGAGCCCCTCTCAGCCATTTCCATTAACACGGAGCTTCTTCAGCTTTGAAGATTAAATGTAACGGCACTAATGAAGCAGCTAACCCCTCAGAGGTACCCACTGATATCCTCGCTGCTCTCAGCGACACACTCATTCACCTCGTAGATCTGAGTGGAGCCGCAGGTGGGCCGAGCGGTTTGAAGCCATTAACCGGCGATGCGGCGAGCGCTGAAGGTTTTGTTTGGTGCAGGAATAATCATGGCTGTAATGATGGGGTGATTCATGGATACTGGAGTAAATGCCGTCTCTATTACGCTCAGAAGCAGCTGTGACATTTCTACTTGTCTGGTTGTGATCCGTGGAGAGGTGGGAGAGCTCTGTGGGGTCTTAGTCATCAGATGTTTCTGTTCGGAGCCGTATTAGAGTCTTGCTGCTTTAACTGCCTGGTGCTTCATCTACAGGAGTATCGGCGAAACATCGGCGCATAAGAAAAATCACCCTGCAGCTCTTCAGCTAGCATTAATAAGCAGCTGGTCCAGGTTGCACAACGATAGTTAAAGTTGTGCTCCAAGGAGGACAAAGCTGCATGCATGAGCATAAAAAGGTGACGTCCGCATAGAAATGTATATGAGAACCGTCGACGGTGTGAACAATGTTATTAACATAGACTCCGACTAGGGCTGGGCTACCACCACCATGTTTGACTGTCGAGGCAGCGGGACGCTCACCTTCCAGAATGTTCTGCAGAATATTTACCCAGAGGTCTTTGGCGTCCTCAGGATGCTATCTGGCCAATGTGAGACGGGTCTTCATGTTGTTTTTGGCCTCAGGTTTTGGTTTGGGACACTTCTTTATTCTACAGAACATCTGAGTGAAATCTAACTGTTTTAATGTAAAAATGCAACAGAAAATCAGACAATTTGAGTAAAACTTTCACAAAAAATTTAGTTTTTAGTGTCCTGTGAGGGTTGACCTTTGACCCCTGGAGAAACACGTGACCTTGTTCCTGTCATGATTGTGTTCTGATGAATCCTCCATGGTTTTCTGGAGTTTTAGTTTCACATTTGAAGTAAAAATATTTAACTTTTACAAACATGTTGTTTCCTTGAGTGGATCTGACTAGTTTCATCTTTCAGCCGTTTTTATGAAAGTTATTTAGGTTTTACACGTATTCGGTGCATTTTCATGCATCACACATATTTTTTAGTTCTCGTGAATTCCCTAAACATGTTTATTATTTTCTGACTGCAGGATCATGTTTCTGATGTGGATCTTTTTCCTGTTTGCTGCTTCAGCAGGTGAGTCTTTACCATGATGGTTTATCTTGTTTACTTTTAATCACCCAAAGATCTACCTGTTAATGACTTGTACTTAAATGTGTGTGTGCGCGTGTGTGTGTATGTGCATGTGAGAGTGTGTGTGCGCGTGCATGAGTGAGTGTATGTGTGTAAATGCGTGTGTGTGGGAGTGCGTGTGTATGAGTGTGTGGGCGTGCGTGTATGCGTAAGTGTGCGACTGCGTGTGTGTGTGTGTGGGCGTGTATGAGTGTGGGAGTGTGTGTGTATGAGTGTGTGGGCGTGCGTGAGTGTGCGAGTGTGTGTGTGTATGTGTGTGGGCGTGTATGAGTGTGCGAGTGCATGCATGTGTGTATGAGTGTGTGGGTGTGCGTAAGTGTGCGACTGCATGTGTGTGTGTGGGCGTGTGCGAGTGTGTGTGTATGAGTGTGTGGGAGTGTGTGTGTATGAGTGTGTGGGCGTGCATGAGTGTGGGAGTGTGTGTGTATGAGTGTGTGGGAGTGTGTGTGTATGAGTGTGTGGGCGTGCATGAGTGTGGGAGTGTGTGTGTATGAGTGTGTGGGAGTGTGTGTGTATGAGTGTGTGGGCGTGCATGTGTGTGTGAGTGTGTGTGTATGAGTGTGTGAGTGTGTGGGAGTGTGTGTGTATGAGTGTGTGGGCGTGCATGAGTGTGGGAGTGTGTGTGTATGAGTGTGTGGGCTTGCGTGTGTGTTCGAGTATGTGTGTGTGTATGAGTGTGTTGGCATGTGTAAGTGTCCATGTGTGTGTATGAGTGTGTGGGAGTGTCTGTGTGGGCGTGTGTGTGTATGTGTGCGTGCGTGCATGTGCGTGTGTATACATATGCGTGCCTGTGTGTGCATAGTATGTATGCGTGCGTGTGCATGCGTGTGAGTGTGCGTGTGTGCATGTGAGAGAATTAAATCAGCGGTCTGTCTGTCCAGCGCTCTCTCCCGCCTCGCTCCTCTGTCCCGACCCTGAGGGCAGCCGCCACGTCATTGGTGAGAATGGAGCTTTTTAAAAGTGTAATTCCATTTATTAATTACAGACATTTTAATGGTCACGACACACAGTTTAGGTTAATCTGATGAGTGAGTCAGCAGAAGGCTGCTTGGTATTTGGGCCCAAAGGAAAAGTTTTCTTCTCAGGGCTTTTCTTCCTACCTGTTGAGAAACAAATTGTTTTATCATAATTGTTTATTTATGATGAAATCTCCAGTTTTAAAACAAATAAACAGAATTAACAACCTAACACACCACTAGGGGGCGCTTGTGTTAACATTCATTTCATAAATAATTTTGATGTGTAGTTTTTTTCTTCCTCCAGCTATCCAACAGCAGTGGGACCTGATGGAGATAAAAGATTCACCTCTGAATATTTAGTTCTAAATGACTCGGTCGTGGTGCCTTCAGAGGACCTGTTATTGTCTCCGTCTTATTTCTTCGGTCAGATTGTCTGGGTCTGCGCTTCACCTGGATTAACCATGTCTTCGATAATCTCCCATCACTGCTGAACTTTGTGTGGAAGCTCCGCTGTCTTTCTGGGATCTGTCCTCGTCAGCTGGAGGACTACGGCTGCTCCTGCAGATACGTGGAGGCTGGAAACCCCCTGGATCCTCTGGACCAGTGAGACAATTGGACACATTTAATCATCTATACTTGTGACTAGAGCCCTGCACTGAAGCCCTAGGCCCTCGGGTCGGCCCGGCCCGACGGCCCTCGGGCCGGGCTTCGGGCCAACGACTGTGTAATTACCTCGGACACGGGCCGGGCGCCTTTATTTTTAATCGAATTCATAAAAAAAATTGAAACACAAACGCAGCAGTAGAGCCCTGCGCGGGACTGTTTTCTTCATCCCGCTCCCGCTGAATTTCTGGCCATTACTGCCTGCAACTGCAACATGTGTGTTACACTCCCGCCCGCACCCGTAGCGTGCATGTCCACTCCCGCCCGCAACCGCAAAACTCTTGAGAAATTATTACCTCACAATAAAAGAGATTTATTGAGTTTGCGTCCTCTCTGGTCCTGGAGAAAACATGTCACAACCCGCGGCTCTTTCAGCCATCTGATGCGGCTCTCTGTGCTTGTAAAATAATGAATGGATATTTAAATAAAATGCTTTATATTTTACTGAATTAATTTTATAGCTGTAAGTCAATTCTATGTAAAGATTGTCTGCGTAAACCTGAACAGGTCCAACCCAGTCTTACTGTGAGACCGTGTTGACGCGTCACGCTTGTGCGTAATATAAGCTGTCTGAGCTGAAGAGATTCTGGGATTCTCCTCCTGGATGTGTCGCCACATTGGAGACAGGAACAAGCGCTATTCAGCCAAAGTTTCATAATCAGGGAACATTTTCTAAGTGACAAGTCTCTCTGAGCGACAGGGTTTGGAAAACACTCGCTTCAGTGGGAGGAATCTTCCTGCATGCGCTCTGGTTCTACGACGCGCTCCAAGCCCCTCTCCACAACTTCAGCTGGCTGTGCACATACAGTACGCGCTGACAGCAAGCTGCGCTGAGCAGCTCAGCTGTTCAGATGGGAATCTTTTCTTGAGTGATTTAGCTACATCTGCGATGTGCGTAGAATAAAATGTCAGTTCGTCTGCATGCGTCGGGGTAATTCTTTCTATTCTTTCTCCGTCAAAATAAACGGTCAAATACAGGAACTATCCGGTCAACACAACACAAGCCCTGCTTTTAACTGTTTTGTTTTCTTGAGAAAATTGTTGGAAAGAGATAAAATTTAACTTGATTACCACCAGAGCCAGTGCGCCGTCATCTCCGTGATGGTAAACGAGGGAAAAACAAATTGATCGCATCCTGCACGTCTTTTAACACATTGGTCAGGATTGACGCACTTTGTTTTCATTTAGTTGGTTAAAAAAAATTCGGGCTCGGGTCGGGCTGGTGCTCCACCCCCTCGGGCCGGGCCGGACACGGGCTCAGATTTTAGGCCCGTGCAGGGCTCTACTTGTGACGTCTGACCTTCTAACTTCCTGGTTTTTCTCTGCAGCTGCTGTGCGACTCACCGACGGTGTTACCTCAAGGCTGCCCCCTGTAGGCAGCATCTGTCTCCTCCACCTGACGACTTCACTTGCACCACAGCGACCTCCAGCTGCGGTGAGACAAACGGTTTGGATGTTTGTGATTCTCCGGGTTGTTTTATATGATCTAACAGGTTTTTTCTATCACCCTAAACCGTTTCCTGATTGGCTGTTTCTGTCTGGGAAGATGTTGGTGACGCGTGCCGGCGAAGGCTTTGTGAATGCGACCGAGCCGCCGTTGACTGCATGACTCGGAGTTCCTACAACTCGAGTCTCAGAGGCATCTCCGAGTCGTTCTGCTCTGCAGCAAATCACACAGGTGAGTTCACGTTTCACTTGTTCGAAGACACGTTTTGAAAACATCACGTGAGTTTATCAACAAGAAGCTTTACAAAATAAAAGTATGTGACAAAGCGCAAAATAATACGTTTCATTGATTAAACAGGTTTTGTGTTTGAGGCTGAAATTAAAGTGAAAATTCTGATAAATAACTTTTGGTGTAAAACACGTCAGAATGGTCCAGAACCCAGTGTGATTGGACCATAAATCTGAGATGACTCATCCGGACTGTCTCAGAACCAGAGACTGAACCACGACCCAAACCTCTCATTAGTTTGGTTTTTCCAGGTTTGTTCAGCGGCTCCGAGGAGGTCGATCCGGTCTTCCCAGGAGCAGGTGAGTCTTAGTGACACGCTCCAGCCCATAGAGAGAGAGCGAGGACGGGTCGGATCACAGAAAACGGCTGACTCACACCTACACCAATTAAAACATCGACCTCTTGACTTTTAATCCTACAGCTTCACGCCCACATTCAGCCGGGAGACAAGCAGACTCCGACTTTCTTTGATCTGACGAGGTTCTAATTTTAGATGTGAGCCAGCCGAGCTGCTCTGAGTCAGAGAAACAGGAGGCTATTAAAGAGAAGAGCTCAACTCCAGACTTACAGAAGTCTGTCAGAGGTCTTTAAGAGCTTCTGGTGCTGCTAAGTGCCTCTGAAAACATAAGTACGTAAACATACAGTGGGTACGGAAATTATTCAGATCTATTTTATTGACAGAAAAACAGAATTTTAGAAATGTCTGCAGATTTATTAAAAAAGCCTAACTGAAATATCACATGGTCGAAAGTATGCTGTGACACTCGTATACTTAACTTAGGTGCTTTCCATTTCTTCTGATCATCCTAGAGATGGTCCTACACCTTCATTGGAGTCCAGCTGTGTTTATAATACTGATTGGACTTGATTAGGAAAGCCACACCTGTCTATATAACACCTTACAGCTCACAATGCATGTCAGAGCAAACAAGAATCATAAGGTCAAAGGTCAAAGGAACTGCCTGAAGAGCTTAGACAGAATTGCGGCAAAGCACAGATTTGGTCAAGGTCACAAAAAAAAAACATCTGCTGCACTTGAGGTTCCTAAGAGCACATTGGTGTCCATAATCCTGAAAGATGTTCAGGTCGACCAGAACCCTTCCTAGAGCCGGCCGTGCAGCCACACTGAGCTACTGGGGGAGAAGAGCCTTGGTGAGAGAGGTAAAGAACCCAAAGATCACTGTGGCTGAGCTCCAGAGATGCAGTCAGGAGATGGGAGAAGGTTGCAGACAGTCAACCATCATTCCACCAGTCAGGGCTTTGTGGCAGAGTGGCCCGTTGGAAACCTCTCCTCAGTGCAAGACACATGAAGTCCCACATGGAGTTTGCTAAAAGACACCTGAAGGACTCGAGATGGTGAGAAATAAGATTCTCTGATCTGATGAGACTGGGTACGTGTGGAGGAAACCAGGCACTGCTCATCACTTGTCCAATACAACCCTCACAATGAAGCATGGCAGCGGCAGCATCATGCTGCGGGGTGTTTTTCTGCTGCAGGGACAGGACGACTGGTTGCAATCGAGGGAACGATGAATCTGGCCAAGTACAGGGATATCCTGTTCCTGGATCAGTAGCTTCTACTTCCTGTTTATTGAGACCCCGCCCACTTCTCTAACCATTATTTTACCAGGTGGTCTTTTACAAACGTGATCTGGCTGAGATGTCCAGGAGGTAATGAGTGATGTCACACGTGGGCATGGCCCTGGCTGTAGCTGAATAACCGACAGATGTCCCTGTAGAGGTTTTAGTTGTTTAAACTGGTCTCAGACCCATTTGGTTACGGTTGATTTTTAAAGATAATTTACTGGTTTTAGATGATTTTTGATCTCATCAGAATTTTTTTTTGAGCTTCAGACTTTAGGTTTGATTTCTGTGATTTATGTGTGACTGCTCTGATCCTGATTTTATGTTTAGTTTCTGGACTAAATGATTTAAATTAAGGTTTCTGATGTTTGTAAGAAGGGTTTCTTCATTCAGTCTATTTATTTGAATCATCTTAGGTTTGTTATTGTTGTTTGGAAAAATGACACCTCAGGTAAAAATAACAAGGTACAACTGTATTAAATTACGTGTAGATCTAGATGAAAGGAACTCTCGTATTTAGTAATATTTAAATGTATTTAATACTTAAGCTGCATATAAAACTAAATGAAGCAGAAATCCACTGAAACAGAGTTTTGTACCAAAGGTAGAACATTTCTGCAGTGTTCAGTTTCCTGTTGCAGCAGCTGCAGGATTTTTAAGCACAGACTGAAACGTCCTTGTTCTTTTGTCCAGATGTTCTCTCAGCAGCAAACGACTCTGCAGGTGTTGTGATGTCCAACTCCTCCCTGCTGCTGTCGGCAGGTAAAAGCTCAGGAAGTGAGAGTCCAGCCACGCTTTAGTCCTTCAGTCCGGAGTAGAACAGTAAACTGTAAAATTAACAAGATTTAGTGTTTTTGACCAGTTCTGGTGGTTTTTACTTGGTTAGAATCATTAAAGTTTTAATAAGTAGGTAAGTTAGGCTACATTAGAGTGACTTAACCCTTTTTAAGTAAAACCAAAACTCACTTAACCCTTAAACAGAGATCAGATTATTAAACGTGAGCAGCTCGGATCAGAATCTCGTTTTATTGATAAAAACAACAAACGTTTGAATAAATAATGAAATGTGAAGTAAAATGGTTTCAAACATTAAATGTATGAAAATGTTTAGAAAATTCAAAATGGAAAAACAACTCAACTAGGAAACTGTTTTAATAAACAAAATAAAAACTGTAAACTTTAGCTGCAAAAACATCATTTAGTCCCTAAATCAGCTGATCTTTAGCAAAAGAAAAATCATAAATATGAAGATGTTTGAATTAAAGTTACATTAACCCTCGTCGTCCCAAACGAACTAAAGCCTTGTTTCCTCCTGAAGGATTAAAGTTTGAGCTGTTTATTTAGGATCTCACAGATTCTGACCCGGAATTTTTCTGACCAGCAGAACCGGACCTGACAAGAACTTTGGAAAACAGCAGCGACTCTTCTGGGATGAATGGTTTGATCCTCACGGCTCCACCTTATCAAACCTCCTCCCCAACCCATCCTGGTACGTTTACAGCCTGATGTGACCTTTGACCCTAACACGGGTCTGGTGTTTTATGAATGAGAAATGACTCGCACTTATATTAACGAAAAGCCAAAGACGTCACCATCTTGTTTCGCTCCGACGCATCACCCCGCCCACCAAACCAAGAGCGCTGTGATTGGTGGTACTGGTCTGGGCTGCTGAGGTTCCAGTGGAGCGTGGCTAGACTAACATGGATCACACTGTATGTAGGTCTCTAGGCCTTAAGCGTTTTCTTTACGTGAAATCTAATTTAGTTTTAAAGCATGTTAGAACAGATTTTATGTGTCCTGGTTGACTGGCCTCTGAGAGTCTTCAGTTCCTCTTTTGGGAATTTTCCAGTTTGACCATCATAGATGTTCTCCCCAAGACCGACAACCGGATGGTCCAGTAGTTGGGTTTTGGTCAGGTTACTAGCTATACGCTGTTAGAACGTTAGGAGAAGCAGGTTTTATCTTAGCTTTAATGAGGTGTTTGGTTGTTCTCGTAGGAAAACTCCTGCTGGAGATAAATAAATATGATCTAACGGTCAGAAAATACTTAAAAAATGCAGCACACGTTTCTGTAAACACTTTTCTGAATTCAACAACCTGAGTTTGATGTTTATTTAAGACAAACAACAAAATGTCTGTTATTACAGCTCCATCGCTAGTGTCAGCTCAAGCTCCTGATGATGCAAACATCAGAACAACTCTCAGCAGGCTCCTCCCACCATCATTTTCATCATCTGAGGAAGAGCGAGGTCAGTTCACACAGCAGCTTCAGACAGAGTTGGATTATGCTCTCAAGCTGAAGTCAGACATGAATCCTTCACTCCTTCAGATTTACTGTCACTGAAAACGGAGTCGATCAGAGATGAGGAGGGGGAGTCCAGCCAGGAGGAAGGGGAGGAGCCACCACCAGCTTCTCCAGCAGGTTGGGTTAGAGTTACAATACCGCTGTAGCCTTTAAATTCATGAAACCTGGAATGCAGTTAAACCTGGTTCTGGCTGAAACTCACCTCCTCCTGATTGGTAAAAACTCAACAGGAACAACCTGAAATTTCAGAGACGAGATGTGATGATCAGTGTGTGCTTAAAGGCTGATCTCCGAGCAGTTTAGGAATAAAACATGAAATTAAGTAAAAAATTTGAATCTATTCAGGTTGGATTATTTCTGAGTAGGATAAACAAACTCCAGCGTGTAGCAGTAAATCCTCCATGAGACGTTTGTCCAGCTGTCCCCCAGGATGTCCTGTAGCTTGTCTCTGAGCTCTGACACAGCTGCTGTCACATCCTCAAAGTATCTGAGAGGACGGATCTTGATGTCGGATGAGTGTGGAGACCCACTGAGTGCTGACACTGAGGGGTAGTTGTGTAGAAACTGGTTGTGATCCTCTGTGTTTGAGAGCTGCTTCAGCTCAGCATCTTTCCTCTTCAGCTCGGTGATCTCCTGCTCCAGCTTCTCCTGAAGCTCTTTGACCCGACTCACTTCAGTTTCCTGCTGGGATCTGATCTGCTGCTTCACATCAGAGCTTATTTTGTGGATCAGACAGATCAGCTGGCTGAATGATGACAGAGAACTGCAGGATGGACTAGAGGGTTATGAAATGTTTTGACAAAATAGGAGGAATAAAAGAGGAGGAGGTGTCGCTATATTTGTTATATCCTGCATCGTGCATGGATCAGTTTATGAGAGAAATTTCTGTAATACTGGAAAAACACAAAGAAAAGACAACTTTATTTTGTGGTGATTTTAATATTGATTTATTGAAGGCAAATGATCACAATAAGACTTCTGAATTTACTGATACAATCTTTAGTTTTGGGTTCTATCCGTTGATTCTAAAGCCCAGCAGAATAAAGATGGATAGTGCCACTTTGATTGACAACATTTTCTTTAATACGATAGATGGTAAGATACATAGTGGACTGTTAGTCACGGATGTGAGTGATCACTTGCCTGTCTTTTCAGTGTTTGAAATGAATAATCAATTTAATATTCGAGAGGAAAAGATTGATTACATTGGTAGAATAAAAACACCAGAACACATTGCGGCTTTTAAAAGAGAATTAGAAAATTATGACTGGAAAAATGTTTATGTGGAAGACACTAATGATGCATATAATGCATTTCTAGACATATTTTTGTCAATCTATGACAGCCATTGTCCACTAAAAAAGTTTTCTGAAAATCTCAAAAAGAAAAAGCCATGGCTGACAAAAGGTCTGGAAAGAGCATGTAAAAGGAAAAATAAGTTATATAAGATTTTTTTGACAGATGGAACTAAGGAAAATGAAGACAAATATAAGAAATATAGAAACAGATTAACAACTATTTTGCGATATGAAAAGAAAAGTTATTATGAAAAGCTGCTTCAAAAATCTAAAAATAATATAAAGGCTACCTGGAGTGTACTTAATAAGATAATAAAAAATCTGAATATATGTTTTCCAACATGTATTGTAAAAGAAGGTAATGCAGTGATTAAGAATATTGAGAGTATAGTCAACGAATTTAATGATTACTTTGTTAATGTAGGTCCCAATTTGGCAAGAGATTTCTGTTCCAGGAAGACATGATGACAAATGTTTAAATTTTACTTCTTATAAATGTAACTCAATGTTTCTTGGAGGAGTCCGTGAGAGTGACATTATAGATGTGGTGAGTACATTTCAGAGTAAAAAATCCATGGATTGTGACGGCCTTGATATGTCATTAGTTAAAAGTTTTTCATAGTATCTTTCAGCCATTAACTTTTATTTGTAACAAATCATTTCAAACTGGAATTTTTCCAGATCAAATGAAAATTGCCAAAGTGATCCCATTATATAAAAATGGAGATAAACAGGTTGTGTCAAATTATAGACCAGTATCTTTGCTGCCTACATTTTCAAAGATTCTTGAAAAACTATTTGAAAACAGACTAAATTATTTTCTTGAAAAATATGATTTCTTGAATGACCATCAGTATGGGTTCAGAAGAAATCGCTCAACATCTCTAGCAGTGATGGAATTTATTGAAAATATTGCAACAATTGTGGATAAAAAACAGATTGGAATAGGTGTGTTCATTGATTTACGCAAAGCCTTCGATACGATAGATCATTCTTTACTGTTACAGAAATGTGAAAGATTTGGTTTAAGAGGTGTTGTACAACTTTGGTTAAATAGTTGCTTGGAAAGAAGGTTCCAATATGTCAGTATTAATAATATGAAATCTAAACTTAAGACAAGTAACCTGTGGAGTTCCGCAAGGATCGGTGTTGGGACCAAAGCTATTTTTACTTTATAAAAATTATATTTGTACAGCTAGCGACATTTTAAAATATTTGATGTTTGCTGATGATACAAACTTATTTTGTTCTGGAGATAACATAAAGGAATTACTGAAAACAGTGGAAACAGAATTGATGAAGTTAAATAGATGGTTTGTATTTAATAAACTGTCACTGAATGAAAGTAAAACATTTTGTTGTTTGGAGCTATTAGAGTAATATTGAAGAAAAATAAAATCTAAATAATGTTGAAATTGAAAGAGTATATGAGACTAAATTTTTAGGAGTAATAATTGATGATAAACTTTGTTGGAAGTCTCACATAGATCATGTGAAATGGAAATTATCTAAGTCTATTTCTACTCTTTACAAGAGATTTATTGCACAAGAGCTGCCTTTATTTACTGTACACTTCCCTCTGCTTGCCTTATATGAGTTATTGTGTGGAAATTTGGGGGAAAACATACAAAACATATCTGGATTCAATTTTTAAATAGCAAAAAAGAGCTATTAGAATAATAAATAAAGCTGGATATAGGGAGTCCACAAACCAATTTTTTGTAGGATCAGCTATGTTAAAATTTAAGGACATTATATATCTTAAAACTTAAGAAATGATGTATAGAGTGGTGAAAATGAATGTTCCAATTTGTATTTTAAGTATGTTTAAATTAAGAGATGGAAAATATGATTTGAGGGGGTCTTATATGTTTGAAATACCTAAAATGAGAACTAATGCGAAGTATAGATGTGTGTCGGTTTTGGGAGAGAAGTTATGGAATGGCCTTAAAGATGAACTGAAGATGTGTTATTCTTTGTCATTTTTCAAGAAAAATTAAAAAATTTGCATCTTCCAAAGTTATAGAAACTTAGTTTGATGTCTAACCTTGTGTTGATTTGATTTCTTGATTTATCATTGCTTTTTCTTTAAATGTTATGCATCTTATCCATCAGCCTTGGTAAAGGATTTGATTATTGGTTATTTGACTTCTGAGGAGGTGAGATGTTTCAGGTGTGAACCTGCTGGAAGGTACCGCCAAACAAATCAGCCATGTCTGCTGTAGAAGTTGTCCAGACGATGTTTTCTGACTAAAGCAGCTAAAATCTGCCTGTTTATCATTTCTATTAACATAAAAGCATCCAGAGCTGCTAATAACTACCAGAGTATCACAGGGTGACAGAAATGAACCAGACAGACACAATAATATGATTTAGGTTAAATATAGGTGATGCAGACCGGCTTTTATTAATAATTATTGAAAAACAAAGTCCCACGCTAATAAAATGACACCTCTGCGTCTGACCCATCGCCATGGGGAACTATTTGGTGGTTTGACGCCCACTCCAACCCTTAAAGCTGAGTGTCTTTGGTAGGACCTGACCAGGATTTGAACCGTGATCTTCCAGGTTCTCTGATAGCGAGCTGAACACTAAAAACTTTATTTTTGGATATTGAGGTTTTGACACTTGCTGCAGGTCCAGAACCTTCTGATCACGGAGGATCTTCTTTTAACTGTTACAGGGAAGAAGTCTCCAGGAAGTGGGGTCACCTCCATCAGACCACCTCTGTGTGAGGAGGAGGATGAAGGTAAAGTTTCTCCTCTCATGGACCATTCATCACTTGTCTCAGTTCCGATGTTTATTAATCAGGTGACTTTGTCCTCTGATGAGACTCTGACGTGGGACAGAAGGGGACAGATCCATCCTTTGTCTTGTCCCCGCTGGAGTCTACAGGTCCGACTGACATCCAGCAGCCAGAAGGTGAGTCAGAACTGCTGCATTCATCTAGTGTGAAACGTTTGTTTGATCCTAAACATGTTTCCTCCCAACAGACTGTAGCCGCTCTGATGGGCGGAGCCAGAGGGAGAAGCTGGTGCTCGGAGAGATGCTGCTCTGTCTGACGGGACGGTGTCCTCACCCATACGAGGTGTATGGCTGTTACTGTGGACAGGAGGGTGGTGGGCTGCCTCTGGACCAGCTGGACAGGTCTGAGCCCTGCAGGAGGACAGTCTGGGGTCAAAGGTCAGCCTGATTCCACCTCATGTCTCCTCCAGGTGCTGTTTCTTCCATCGCTGCTGCCTGAGGCAGATCAGCTCCATGGGCTGCAGGAGTGATAGGAAGCTCAGCGCTCACGTTTCCTGTGAGAACAACAGACCACGATGTGAGTCCAGACCTTAGAACCAGCTCGGTTCTGCTGAGGAGGACGTCGGGTCACATCTAAATCAGTCGTTTGCTAAGCAAATTCCTCGCTGTGCAAACCTAATTTCTACTGAGTTTTCCACCTCACAGACGCTGAGGGCCAATCAAAGCGCATTCTCCCCTCACTTGATTCCAAGATGGCAGCCTCCTGTCTGCATGTCAGCAGAATAAACGAAACTGAGAGAGCTGGATATGGAGGAAATGCTTCTACTTGTTTTGCGTCACCGCCACAGTCATTTGAAGGTTAGAAAAATATGGCTGTGCTTATAGCATTCCAAAGTCTGGAATATCAAATCAGGATTGGAGAAACCTTCAAAGCATTTCCTCCATATCCAGCTCTCTCCGTTTCTGACAGGAGTCAGCCATCTTGGAAAAATGTGAGCAGAGAACATGCACACGGTGAGTTTCTGCTCAGAGTGAGGCAGAAAAGTCAGTGAAAATTAAGACGCCAGTGCCCGAAAATGCCTGCTGGCTCTTGTACGCAACAACCAGGGCTGTGCAGAGACCTTTGAAGGGGCGGGTGCTCAAATTTAAAAAGGGGCTCACAGAATAATATATTCAAACACCATGACATAACCACAGTATACCCGGCTGAATAACAAATCATATTTATTAGAAATTCTAAATGGAAGCGAATCATTATGTACACCATAAGGACAATGTAAAGCAAAAGTAACTTGTTTTGGTAAATGGTCTGTATTTGTATAATGCCTTCTTAGGGTTCTACAACCCCCCAAGGCACATTACAACACAGTCATTCACACACACACATTAACACACTGATGGTGATGAGCCATGATGTAGCCATAGCTGCTCTGGAGCGTACTGACAGAGGTGAAGCTGCTGAGCACAGGCGCCACCCATCCCTCCGACCACCACCAGCAGGCAAACAGGTTAAGTGTCTTGCCCAAGGACACAACAGCATCAATCTCTGATTAAAGTCAGGATCTAACCTGCAACCTTCCGATTACTGGACAACCTGCTCCACCTCCTGATCTATTGCTGTCCTATTTTAACTGATGATGGGGTACAATGTAGCTGTTGCAGGGTTGCTCCTCTTGCTGCTGCTGATGATGCTGGAGGGCAAGGCTGTGTTGATGTCAGACTGTAGGTAGTAAAACGAACAGAGGAGAAATGTTAGTCAATTACAAAATTAATGTCAGATCATAAAAAATGGCAAAAATTGGTGAAAACTCTTAGAACTGTAAGACAGAAATATCTGAGACAAAACCTGTGGTGAATAAATGGAAATCTAAACATTAGTGGATAATAGAGGAGTTTATGTCAGAGATAAGAATGTGACAGAAATATAAACAGAAAGAGGTGTGTGTGTGTGTGTCTGTCTTCAATCTCCTCAGGTGATCTATCACTCTCCACCTGCTGTCCATCTGAGAACAAGGCAAAATTAGCTATTGTATGAATGAATTATGTAGTTACCGTAAATCCTCTAATACAGGCCCGGGCCTGTATTTGACTCAAGCTCATCAAGCTCCAGGCCTTTATTGGAAGGAGGGCCAGTATTAGAGGCAGGCCTCTATTTCTATTTGAGCAAAATGAGCTAATGGTTCCCTGGAGTTTTTGACAATTAAAAGTGCGCCCACATTTTCAAAGTTAAACACATTTCTTTTAACAACGGTAGTTCCTGCTTCAGCCCTCTCCCGCCTCCCCCTGCGCAGCGGCCGCAAACTCACTGATGCGCCTGCAGCCTCTCGGAGTTCCTGCTGCTCTAAACATTAAAATAATTATTTCATTTTCTGTTCCTCACTTCTGATGACCTTCAATGGTGTCTGTTTGTTGCAACAGTAGGTACAAAAACTAACTTGTTTTTATTTGACTATTTTTCTGTCCTGTCTGTTTATTATCTTCCTGCATCTCCTCTCAATCCTAAAGAAAAACTGCTACCTGGGTTCATATATATTCACCTCATGAGTTACCTTTGAACTGCAGTTCTAAAGGATCTACCGACCGCAAAAACAGCGGAGCGCTTGCTGTTTGGCGGCTGTATCAGTGATCTGTGCATCGGAGGACAAGGTGATGCGCCCCGCTCCACAGCAGCGATACACATCAGGCGCAAATAAAAGACAGAAAACATTAAAGGAAATGAACCGACATGAACGATCGCGTGTCAGTACCTACGGTCTGGCACTTGAGTTTTACCCCCAAAAAGAGAATGTGATCATACGATAATTCAATAGGGAGCGTGGTTTCACAGACGCGGAAGTGATAGCGTCGGTGAAACGCCGGCTGCTCTAGGAAACCCCCGAGCGTTCGAGCGTCAACGAAGTGACACGGAAATGCCGGGCTTTCCAGAAGTAAGTAAGATAACTTACTATGAGCTGATAGTTCGTTGGATTGATCGGTAGGTTGGAAACTGTGATCATGAATCTGAAGAAACGATGACTAAGTGGTGAGCTGGAAAGGCGACTTCCGTTTATAGCTGCGGTTTGTGACGTAGGTGCGACGTGGAGGGAATCCCCGCGAGGGGCATGCTGGGAGTCCCTACTTCGCGGATTTTCACCTATCGCGGCCAGGTCTGGAACGCATCTACCGCGATAAACGAGGGATTACTGTAGTTCATACACCCCCTACTGCTGCTCTCCAGAGTGTTCTGCAGCATAATCAGCACGTTCTCTTTGAACTTGATAGTGTAATGACCTGGCTGGGGTTGTAAGCCAGGTGCATTCTGGGTATTGTGTTATATGTGTTTCCTATCGTTCTGCTAGTTCCTATGTGCTGATTTGCGTGTTGTGTGAGTGTTATGTAAGCCACAGGGAAGGTGATGTGTGTTCTGTGGAGCGGGTTGAATTAGCATGGTTATCTGACACTGTGACTCTGTGTGGTAGGAGCGTGATAGAGGATGTGTCTGTAGCGTTACAAAGCGTTGAAGAAAAAGCCTAATAAAGGTCTGCGTGAACTTCGACTTCCTTCTGCTGGTTGATTTGGGGACTATAACCCTGCCGCTGGGACGCTCGTACTTGCTTGTTACCACATTCCATCCGGCCACAATAAGAGACCGGCCATTATTTACCTCCGCTGACTCCGACACCGGCCAAAATTGGAGACCCGGCCTTTAATTGAATACCGGCCTGTATTAGAGGATTTACGGTATTCACATTTAACAGGTCTTGCACCTAATCCATGATCAATTAGCTAACAAAAAACATTTTCTGGCATCAAAACATTGCAGTTGTGTATATTATTGTTTCTACACTTGTTGCTGTGATGCAACTTACCTGTACTCTTTTTTTATCCAGCTGGTGAGGGACCCACTGCCTTTAGCTGCCTCATGTAGCTCTTTCTGTCACTGCTTCCGCCTCCTCTCCTTACGAGGCATGTCTGTACAATGATATATCATAATTAATTTACAAATATTTTTTCATGCATATAAAACTCATGCATACACATACTGGGACATTTCATTCCTTTACCAGAAAACTAACTGTATATAATTTGGCCACAAATTTGCTTCATGATGCTGATCCAGAATATTTCCATACTATTTTAATCACAGTGCTTTAGTAATTATAATAAAAATAAAGAATAATACAATGTTTATGCCTTCATTCAGTTTTACCATCTACTTTGTGCAAAACAGAGAACTGTACAGATAAAATAATTTTGCTGTGAAAACAGTAGTTTTTTTTAATACAATGCATTCAAAAAGAGAGCAGATATAAACTCCAACATTTTGAGAATATGCATAGTATTAGTGAACTATAAAACCCACCAGAAGGGCTGAGAAACCTTAAAATCTAAAACATAACTATGTTCCCTAAAACGCTGGACAGAATTTAGACAAGGACTGGATATTTTGTAACACAAAACCTGTGACGGATGTTATCTTTAGTATTTTTCTTATTTCCTTTCACAAAAGGTAGCTAAATTTTAAATTTGTTCCAGTTTTATCAGTCTGCGAACCAGGAAGTGATTCTGTAAACAAAAAGCAGGGCTGTGTGAGACCCCAGTCACGTGACACGCAGCAGCAATAGGAATGCAACTTTGCGGTACCTAGTTAACAACGACATTTTATTGGCAAATTCCCAATATTTAAGATTGAAAAAAATATTTTCATACAAGTACTTATGTACAGAATGTTTTTGGTTAATCCTAAAGCTACTGAGGTTCAGAATCGGTACCCAGCCACACACACACCCAGCTAGTAACATATCACACACACCTAGTGCCACAAAACAACTTAATAATGTACAAAATCTAATAACTGTGTATAGTAGTGTGCATCCTACTTACCGGTGTTAGTCCGTTTCTCCCAATCAATATGTATGTCCTAAAAGCTCTGCACCGCTCCCTCGGCCATGAAGAAAACGTGGGTGCTTGCAGCTTGTTGTAACCAGCTGTGCGCTCTGGCGTGAGGAAGAGACGGTATGGTCACGTGACTCACGCAAGCTATATAACTTTATTAAACTGAAATTTTATTAATTATTATTTTTGTTATTGTTGAGGGGGCACAAACAGAAAATTCTTAAAAATAAATAAATAAATAATGCCTAGTGGCATAAGGCCTAATGGGTGGGGCCCCACAAGGAAAGTTGACCATTGAGCAGGGTTGATGAATGAGAACCACCTCACCCCTGCCACGTGGATCTCATGGGATAAACCTTCAATCCTGCTTAATGGTCAATTTTCCTTGCGGGGTCACCCATAAAGACAGTGGGAGGGTTAAAAAGTATCAAAACCGTGTGTGTGTGTGTGTGTGTGTGTGTGTGTTTTAAGGTTAAACTGTAGTCACACATCATCTCAGGCTGTCTTCTCTCCAGACTACACGTGGGAGTTGAACAAGACTTCCTAGTGAAGCTCAAACTTTAAGACAAATAAAATCCATCCTGGTCTGAAATGGCGTACCTGTTGTGACCTTCAGGTCAGGGCGTCTCGCTGTGTGACAAGCTCCAGTGTGTTTGTGACAGAACCACAGCAGAGTGCATGGCTGCTGCTCCTTTTAACCACAGCCTGCAGCAGCAACAGTGCCGTGGACCAATGCCACCCTGCCGCTGGGCCAGCAGACCTCTCAGGGCACCTCCCCAGTCCAGTGAGAAGATCAACCAGCCGAACTCTGGAGCCGTGACTCCACCTGGACCACATCCAGACAAGACGAGCTCCAGGTGAGTCTGAGTTAAGATCAATGCTGTTAGAATAAAAGGAGAACGTACCTGGACCCAGGAATTCTTCTGTTACCAGTAAACATCTCTGAGGGTCTCTGGTGAGACTTTGAGCTCTGAAAGAAAAAAGTTACATTTAGTTGATTTTGCTTGTCAAACATCAAAGGAAAATAAATCTAAATGATGCTAATTTAAAAATTCTTATCTGTAGTGATGGGAGCTCTGAACTTGCTTCCAGTGGGAGTCGCACCAACAACCACCAACCAACCCAAGGTCAAAGGTCAACAGAAGATGAGGAAGAAGACTGAAGGATCTTACCCCACATCTCCGTTTCCTCTCCAGATCACCATCAGCAAGGAAATACCATGACTCAGCAGTTTTGATAGAAACACTTTATTTGAAGTACAGAAGCGTCGGAGTGAAGCTCCAAGGCTCGGCGGCTGACCGATTCAAATAAACAAATTAACTGTTTCTCAGACACATTGGATCATGAATCCGAGTCCAGATTTTGGTTTCCTAAACCTGCAGCAGAAGCCGAGCCTCGGCGCCATCTATTGGTCATAATCTACGCTTAAGCTGTTTGTGAAGGCCGAACACAGACGAGACGACTGATCTCTAAAACACAAACATATGTTCCACCTGCTGACCCTTCAAAATAAAATACTTCTGATTGTGTCGTACCGCTTACCCTAGCGTGCTGAAATGCTTTCCCACCTGTCTCTGATCGATGGTTTAATCAGGTCCAGATTCACACAGAACACCCGAGTCTGAGTTTAATACTGATAATAATCTGGGTGGTCTAGAAGCACTTAATAAAACATTAGACCCAGATGTTTGAGTGGAGCTGGAGACTAAACCCGATCATCTGATATGTCACAACAAAACCGCTACAATAAAAATCTGCTAAAACCACGAGAGCCACTAAAATAAACAGTTTTTACTCCCCGACTCTAAAATCTCTCCCAGGCAACAGTTCAGAAACACAATGTACAAAAATAGAAGCTCTGCTGCACACTCACCTGCCCAGGTGCAGGCTTGTTTTCACAGCATTTTATATTTTAGCTCCGCCTCTTTGTTTTACATCACACTTCTCAGAGCTCTGAATGGACGCTGGTGATTTAGTCTACAGACAAGATTATGACAACAGAGTCAGGTTTTACTGTCGAAGCCAGAAGCTCACCGGGTCGTTAGTTTTCTGGCAGGAGTCACCGACACCGGGAAACCAGATCCATCTGGTTACAACCCAGTGAGATCCTGGTCTTTGTGACGGTCGTTGATTATTTTTATTCACCAACAGCTATGGAGTTTGTGTTTGTCAGCCAGAGAACTTCAAGCTAGTCACAATTTAGCAGATTAACCCTTTAACACAGAGGGTGACGTGGTTATGTACAACAGACTCATGCTGGTGATTAAAAGTGACACAAACACGTCTTTCCTGTCCGCCACGCCATCCATGACTTCCTGTTTCTGCTCCTCCTCAGACCTTCAATCTGGGGTAAACCCAAACAGCAGCAGGTGCTGAGCTCGGATCAATCAGGTTTATAAACTGAACCGTGACCTTTGACCCAGATGCTGCTGTAACTGATGAAGCCACTTTAACTTCCTGATTCCCTGAGAGGAACAAACCTTTTAATCCCAAAAACAGATGACGGGTTGGGGATAAACTTAATACGTTTTCTAGAATCCGACACTCGCAAGATTAACGAAGAGTCGGACTGAAAATGTGTCTCCAACCGTCAGAACCCAGTTAACCACAGCCGACTTTAAAATACAAACTACAAAGTGCAAAAACATCAGAAATTTTTCCCAAATGTTTTTTAAACTGAGATTAAACAGAAGGAGCTTTAAGTGCTTCTGGATTAAATGTTGGGATTATTTTTCACTGACCTGAAGCACGTTGTCATTTTCTTTCTCCTACATGAAATGATTCAGATTCATGATCAGTGAGCACAAAGTTAACTCGGCACAAATTTTACCTCTAATAATCTGAGATTATACTAATCTGAGCAGATATTTAAACAGATATTTATTCATTTATAGATTACTTTACTAGTTAAACACGAAGCTCCAGCTGGTCTAAAGCTAAACATCGATACGATTCAGAGAACCAATCAGAATGAAGCTTCCTGCCAGGAGTCAGAGCTCCCGATTGGATCAAAAAATTTGTTCTTCCTCATCTGTTAGTCGATGTGTTCAGTAGACACACAGGTCTGGGAATTTCATCTCATAGACGGGAACGGATGGATGCTGGGTGTGTCCCGTCGAGATGGAGACCACTCCGGACGGGCTGGGGGGAGGCCTGGGGGTGTGGGATTATAATTCTAAATTATGATTTAACACTCATAGGGTGTTTTAAGTTTTTCTAGAAATTAAATTTATGTTTAGAAGCAGAATAAACTATAAACTCACACAAAGATGTCTAAACTAAGGTAAGTCTTACCGGATGGTGAGTTCGAAGATTTGAGCCAGACGGTCGTGCAGCATGTTCGCCTGATGGAACAAGACGTTTAACGTCAGGTGGATATCAGTTTAGAGCTTTCCTTCTAGAATGATGCTTTTATTTTGTACCTTGGACTCGCAATGAGCAGCAATCTCCTCAAACGGAGCTTTCTGGAACTTCTCCATCACCTGGCGCCTCTTCTCTCGTTCCTGCTCCTCTAAACCGGTCGTATCTGAAAACAGTCAGAAGTTTGACTCCAACCTCATTTAAAACAAGAGAATTAGATTTTATAACCAAACGTTCCCAAACTCAGGAATCTGCTTTGGATTTAGCTCCTGTTTTTAACTCGTTGAGCTGAGGGGTGAAGTCCTAACAGACATACCGATGGCCTTCTTCAGGGTCTCAAACGTGATCTCCTCAGCCAGCAGGGACTGCAGAAACAGAGACAGAAACCCTAATCTGTGAAATTATCTAGATTGAACAAAAATAATCATTGCTGAACATATTTGATCACGTTCTGCTTGGTTAACATGCTCTTATTTGGTCTTTCCTTCCAAATTATGCTACTTCCTCCTGTTCTGAAGTCAGCACTAACAAAATTAGCAGAACGAGGGTAAAACACACCGGTGGTGCATGACCTGCACTGAAACCACATCCAGATGCAGTCAGGGGTAGATCTCCAGGTTTAGACCTGGTGCTGTGAGCCGGAGCTTTATATAAATAAAGTTAACTGAATTTGGACCTCTAGGCTTCCGTAGCAGCACCATCAAGTTAGACTAGTTCTAGTGTCATGATGCTTTAGTCACCATTCATCAGCTCAACTCTGCCCCCTGCTGACACGGATCAGTGTCTAAACTCAGGACCTTTTAGGATTTAGAGTAACAAACTTTGGCTTTCGTTTTAACAAGTCACATCAGAGCGCTAGTCAACTCAAAGCTCTTTCTTCTCATAGTCATCATTTCAGACACAACCTAAAGTCTGAACCCCACCTTATCTGGGAGGCTGTTGGACATGATGTCCACCTGGAGGGAGATGGTGTCCACGAAACTCTTCCTCCTCGACAGACGGTCTTCATCTGCACGACACAAACCAGATCCTGAATACACAGCACAGACAACAGCTGGAGGCTGATATTCTTCAGCAGTAAAATAAGTATTTTTATGTTCATGTGTTAAAATGTAATAAAAGGACAAGATGCAGATTCATCTCATGTTTTCACACCTGCCTGTTGACTTTTATCATTTATAATTATCTTCTCAGAGAGAGAAAAGCATCTGGGGATGGAAAGCTTTTAAAAATAGGAGCCGGATGAAAATGTAGGAAATCGGTCAAAATTCTGTGGTTTTAGAACGCTAACGCCTCAGCTAACATCTGGACCAGTTCTGTAACATTAAAGAGAAGGTGAGGAGATAAAAGGTTTCAGAGGGATCTGCACCTTCAGGAATGGGATCGTTGGTGGACCAGGACCACAAAGATCCAGAGGAGGATTTGGGTCTGATTTGTCACATGGCTCTATTTGTCGTCTCAGTAATGGCCATCGGGTAACGGCACCTGTGAGAGTTTTACCTCCGTCTGGCTTTAACCCGGAACAAAGAAACTGTGGACAGACTGGAGCTACTGTGTTTCCCAGCAGGAAGGAGATGAGACGTTCCCTTTGTCCTCTTTTAAACTAAAACTTGTTTTATAACTTCTGCAGTGATCCACAGTGCACCAACTTTCAACAATCAGTCAAACTCATTTCTCTCTAAATGCCGACGACCCCCATAATGACATTTATTTATAGGTGCTGGTCTCTAGTAGGAATCAATGCCTTGTAAACTGTGATCTGGGGAAGAAGATCACAGGTGCAGCATCTTCAGGAACTAGAAGTGAGCTGCATCACAGCTGAGCTTCAGATGGCAGGATTTACAATCTTATTTCCTGATATCTGGACATCTCTCCTCTGATTGGCTAACAGCGACACGACTCTTCCACTCTGCAACGCTGATGCTTTATCTCCACCAATAACACAGGCCTGGAGGAGTTCTGCTGTGTGGTTGAGTTGCTTATGCTAATGATTAGCTTCTACTAGCTGTTTCCTGGACTAAACCAACAGTGAGTCCAGATGGGCGAGTCCATGAAAGTTAGTGACAGTGTGACGTAGATCTGTCAGGATTTTCTAATCCTAGAGTTTCACTATTTTCTATCAGAAGCTGCAGGAGATAGGTGTAGGAGACTATTTTCATGTTCAGCCTGCATGAAACACTGTTAAGTTCCGCCTTTAACCCTTTGATGCATAATGGTCAGTACAGTGGACAGGTACTCAAAATTGTTATTTATTTATTTTTGCTATAAGCACAGCTGTTGAAGACTTTATTGCATTTGAGCCCCTCCATTTGGACTTCAGTAAGCCAAGCCAAAATATTTCATGGTCAGAATGCACACTGTCCACTGAGGTGGACATGTCATAAATTATTTGTAAATTAACAAAATGTTACAAAAAATATTTGTTGAAATTTGTTTCATTTACACCTAAAGATGAATGAAAAAAATTGTTTAAAAAACCATGGTTGAAGATTTCATAATTCATGCATCAAAGGGTTAATTGTGAAGATCCCTCACAGATTTCTCCCAGCTAAGTTTACTCAAAGACCAAACCGTCTCTTCTTTTATTCGAAGTTATTTAGGATTATAGGTGTTCTCATGGCAGGTAAAAACCTTAAACCCCAAAGAAAATACAATAATATTTGCATTATATAAACATACATGAATTACCATAAATACCATTCAAATATCACACCCATCTGCAGTACTGCTTGTGTTTAAATGGAACAAATTAAAAAGACTACTACACAAACGCTCCTTAAAGCGTTGGTTACGTATTGTAACCCCAGATTCTATGAGTCTATTTTCAGCCCTTAAGCTAGCTGCTATTGGAAGGATGATCTCAGCATCAGCCAATCATGAAGAGCTTAAATGTACGCCCACCGATGGTGGGCACCCCCTGTGGGTATATAAGTGGAGTGAATCCACTGTTCGCCTCTGATGGCTCTTAGTCCTAACAGAACCAGTGGGGCCACTGGCTTAAGGGCTGCGACTAGACTCAGAGAATCTGGGGTTACAATACGTAACCAATGTTCTATTTCATCTAGTCTTAGCCCTTAAGCTAGTTACTATTGGAATAATGCGCAGGTGGATGGGTTTACGCCACACTGGTTAGCTCAACCAATGGATACACCCAACATGCCTAATTTTAGCGAGGGACGCTCAGCCTCAGCCCAGGGCTTAAAAGGCTAAGGCAGCCAGAGAGAAGAGTGGGGCCCCCACTAAAAATATCATCCACAAGAGGATGAAATTCATTCAAGTAGGGCTGATGTAGTGCCATAATGCTTTCACTCAGCCTGCTGAGGTCCAAGCACTGAATGAGTGATGGATCCTGAAGACACATCTCGTAAATAATAACGAGTAAAGGAACAGGGTGAAGCCCATGAAGCAGCCTGACAAATGTCTTCCATCGACACACCACTGTGGAGCGCCATAGAAGAGGAAATCCCTCTGGCTGAGTGAGCCCTGAGTGTCTCAGGAGGAACCCGCCCTGATGATGTTTAAGCGAGTGAAATGGCGTCACATAGCCAGTGTGAAAGACGCTGGGTCGACAGCGCTTGCCCAAGGGAAGAATCTCTGTAGTGCACAAACAGAGTGGCGAATCCCTGAAGTGCGTGGCACATATCGTGCGAGCGCGCGCACCGGGCAGAGAAGGTGGGAAGCCGCCTCCTCATCAGAATCATGGGGAGGAGGAAAAAGTCCAGCCAATGAAATTGACCTGGATTTGAAGGAAGTATTAATGTTTTTGGGCACAAAGGCTGGGTTGGGGCATAAAACAGCAGACCCGCCATCTTCCCGGATCCTGAGGCATGCGGGAGCCACTGAGAGGGCGGTTAGGTCACTCACTCTCTTGACTGATGCCAGCGCCAGCAGCAAGGTAGTTTTGAGTGACAGGAACTTGAGTGAGACCTGGTCCAAGGGTTCAAATGGGGCTTCAGATAAGCCTGCAGAACCACCCTTAGGTCCCACTGGGGAAATAGCGGGCAGGACACAGGTCTGTTCCTTCTGACACCTTTTAGAAAAGGTTTTGTGAGGGGATGATTGAAAACAGATCTATCTCCAAAACCCTGGTGACAGGATGAGATAGCTGCAGCATATGTTTTAATAGTGCTGAATGCGAGGCCCCTGTCCATCAGCATCTGCGGAAACAATAGGACATCCGCTAGCTGGCAGGAGAGCGCTTGAACATTCCTCTCTGTGCACCATTTCTGGAATGCTGCCCATTTAGCAGCATAAGATGTGACGGTAGAAGGCGCCCGCACACTCTGAATCATGGCCACCACATCATGCGGCAGCCCAGAAGCCTCTAAGCGTGACCGCTCAGCGGCCAGACCCACAGCCATTGGCCTATTTCTGGAGGATGTTTGATTATCCCATCCGCCTGGAGAAGGGCGTCCGCCCTCCAAGGGAGCCTCCACGGGGAGCAGGACACTAGCGCTTGCAGGTCTGGAAACCATGCGGACAAGCGTCTGGGAGCTACCAGAATTTCCGAGAGCTGTTCCGACCGAACTTGGTCCAGGAGGCGGGGAATCAGTGGGACTGGCGGAAACGCATACAGGACCGTCTGAGGCCAGGGCTGGTGTGAGAAGGCGTCCGCTCCGAGTGGGGGGTGGTCCGGGGGACTCAGGGAAAACCACAGGCGACACTGAGCATTTTCGCGAGCCGCGAAAACATCCACAGAGGGTTTCCCGAACTTGATCCATATCTGTGATATCAGTGCGGGATGCAGACGCCAGTCGGAGTCGCGGGGTCCCCCTCTCGACAGGATGTCTGCTGCCACATTCAGGACCCCTGGAATGTAGGTGGCTTTGATGGACAGCAAGTGGACATGTGCCCAACACAGTAAATCTGTGGCTACGTTCAATAGAGGGAGGGATCGAACTCCCCCATGGCGATTTATGTAGGCTGCCGCCACCTGGTTGTCTGTGTGAACCTTGACATGACGGCCCTCGAGAAGGGCAGCGAAGTGTCTGATCACATTCCTCACTGTCATAAGCTCCAACACATTTATGTGCTTGTGGGAGGGCCAGCGATCTGCCACCGTATGGGACAAGCACGTGCCCCCCCATCCCAACAGTGACGCATCCATAAACACAGATACGTGTGACGTAGGACGTCCGATGGAGACCCCGTGTGAGAGGATGCAGGGATTCCCTCAGCGAGCGAGGTCCCCGCCCACTGAAGGGGGAACCCTCAGCATACGCCTCTTCTGACGTATCGGGTGTATCCGGAGGCAGATGAACCAACGCTGTAGGCGTCTCGTGTGCAGTAACCCTAACGGCACCACAGCGTGGGCTGCAGCAATCATGCCCAGAAGTTTCATGACTAACAGGGCTCTCACGATCTTGCGGGGTTGAACGCGGCAGATCACCGTGGTGAGATCTGCCGCTCTCGCCGGAGACAAACATGCTCTCATTAGGGAGGTGTTCAGCTCCACCCCGAGAAACACAATCGACTGGGATGGAAGGATGGAGCTCTTTTCCCAGTTTATGGAAAACCCCAGGGTTGACAGATGCTCTATTAACTTCCTGGTTTGCTCTGACGCCTGGTCCTTGGGCCGGGCGCATAGGAACAGATCGTCCAGGTAAAATAAAACCCTCATTCCCGCCGTGCGCAAAGGCTGCAGAGCGGTCTCCAGACATTTGGTGAAGGTGCGCGGGGCTAGCGAGTAGCCGAAAAGGAGACAATTGAACTGGTATTGAACTCCCTGGAATGAAAAGCGCAGGAACTTCTGGTGTTTGGGAATTACTGGGATGTGGAAGTATGCGTCTTTCAGGTCTATTGAAATGAACTAGTCCCCGGAGTGCACATATTCTAGGACTTGCCTCATTGTTAACATGCGGAAATGCATCACTGCTATGGAGCAGTTGAACAGGGAAAGGTCGAAAATTGGTCTCATTCCTCCCGACTTCTTCGGTACTATGAAGTAGCGGGAGTAGAAGCCTGAGAGCTCTTGTCCGCGAGGGACTTGGGAAATGGCGTCCTTGGACA